AAAAACAAAAACAAAAATACAAATAAGGGGGGGGGTAACAAATAAAAAAAAAAAAAAACCACCCCCACTCCTCAAGCCACCGCCACAGGCGGTGCATTCTCACCCTCCACCCGCGTCGTCTGCGCAGCAGCAGTATCCGCCGCCGCCGCCGCCGCCGCCGCCGCCTGCGCGGCCTTGAACTTCTCGGCGCGGCCGTAGCTCTCGCGGTAGCTGCCGCCGACGGCTTCCTCGACGGTGATAGGGGGGTACTTGGCGGGCTCGTCGGGCGGCTTGCAGTTGGGCAGGCAGTCGATCACGTAGTCTGGGTTGCCGGAGAAGAAGACGGGGATCGAGTAGCGCTCGCGGCCGGAGCGGTTGATGACGCGGTGCACGTTGCTGATGTATTTGTCATTCGACCACCGCATGAAAAGATTTCCTAGGTTGACGACGAGAGCGTTGGGCGTGGGGACGACCTGGTGTGCGATGTGAGTGAGAAGCTAGGTCAAATATGAATGGGAGAGGAAGTGGAGAGAGAGAGAGAGAGAAAGGAAACTCACGTCGAACCAGTCCTTGACGTCGTTGTCCCAGACCTGCAGCCCGTCGACCTCGTCCTGCAGCAACAGCGTGATGGCGCCAAAATCAGTGTGCGCACCGATGCCGCGCGTGAGCTTCTCGTCCGAGTCGCCCGGCTGCGAGGGGTAGTGCAGCAAGCGCATGGTGGCGACGGCGTCGCGGGCAAACTCGTCGAAAAAGCTCTCGGGCAGTTCCAGCGTCAGCGCCAGCATCTTTAGCACGTCCTTGGCCAGCTGCACCACCGCGTAGTAGTACTCGAGGCAGGTGGTTTTGAAGTCGGCGACGTCCTCTGCCCCCAGCGCCTCCGTCGGCCACACGTTCGGCCCGCTGTTCAGCTTCTTGTGCACGAAATAAGGGTGCTCTTTGCTGATCTCGTTGCCGACATAGAAGCCCTCTTTGAGCTCTGGGTTCGTACCTTCCTCTAGGATTTGCGAGCGCAGCAGCTCGTAGCCCCGGTTCCAGGTGTTGAGGTCTGCCCCGTTCTCACTCGTCAGTGCCGATTGCCTCTTTCGGGTCGCTAGCAGGGGGAGTGTGTGGGGCTGCACTGCACCTTTGCCCACTTTCTTCTTCTCCTCCAATGGCAGGTCGAAGAACTTCTTGTTCCAGGCCATCACGCGTTGCTGCAGCGCCACCGGCACCGCGTGGTTCGTGATTTGGAAGAAGCCGTTGAACTGGCAGCAGTCCCGCACTTGCTCAACCAGCTTCTGTTTCTTGGCTACATCTCCGCTGTAGAAAGCGGAGAAGTCAAGGAGGGGCGGGCTGCGGGCTGTGTTGAGTTGGCTTGGCATGGTGGATGTATGTGGTAAACAGTGCGCAAAAATCCCCGTTATGCGTCCGGTGCTCAGTGTGCTATGCGCCAGTCAATAAGCTTATTGCAAGCTATTTTGAACTATTAGCCTTCGGTGTAGTCGTTCCAAGCCGCTGCACTTTTATCTGCTTAGATAAGGCCGCCGTCTCTCCACTCCCCGCACTTGGAGTTGAAGAGTGGGATGTCCCCATTCTTGGCCCGGCGCCGCAGACGTCAAACCCGCCATCTATCCGATAAGGTGGAGGACAGAGCTAGCATGCATTATCTCGAGCTTGTGTATCATGGGGCTGACTTATCGGGTCTGGGGTTCCTGTGAGGGTCTGTCGCTCATGCTAGTGACGAAATCGTAGGCCTCAGTGAAGTCCATTCAAGGTTACTGGCTACCGTAAAGGAAACGATGGTACGGTATATGACTTTATCCGGTAATCCCTTACACCAAACCCATAGATGGTGCAACGATGGGTGATTGGCTCGCATCGCTCGAGTATGTGAATGAGTCTTCCGCCATGGTATATTTCGAGGGCAACCAACCCTTTTCCTCACCGGATTCAGACTGTTGCTTCCATTGTGTTTTCCTCAGGCACCTCAGGATAGCCTCTCTTCATTATGTCTTCCGCAAGTACCAAAGACGAGAAGATCCAGGAGCCTACCCCCGCAGACCTCAACCAATCCGTCTCTTATAGCGAGGGTGTCGTCGAAGCCATCGATGACTCCGTTGTCCGAGACTTCTATGGCGCTTCCGTCAGTGATTCTTACCGGCTCAAGTCCGAGCTTGTAGGCAAGCACCTGGAAGAAATTGGCATGGGCAGGTACGTCTCCCCACCTATCTTCATCCCGTATCCACCTTTGACAATTCTCCCCAGGTTTCAATGGTGCCTCTTTCTCGTTGGAGGCTTTGGTTGGACCGCCGACAATTTCTGGAGCCAGGGCATCAGTGCTGTGCAGCCAGCCATGGCGCTCGAGTTCAGTGATGTGACGAAGCGTAGCTACAGCTCCGTGGCGTTTTACATCGGACTGATTCTGGGAGCCTACTTCTGGGGAACCTCTGCCGACTTTATCGGGCGGAGGCCTGCTTTCAACACCACCATAATGATCGGAGGCATCTTCGCCTGTGCCGTGGCCGGTGCGCAGAACTTCGTCGCCTTCAGCGCCATGTGGGCGGTGATTGGGACCGCCGCTGGTGGCAATGTCCCGGTCGACTCCATGATATTTCTAGAGTTTGTGCCAGAGAGCCATCAGTGGCTGCTTACTGCGCTGTCGGCTTGGTGGAATTTCGGCCAGGTCGTCGTGTCCCTCATAGGATGGGTCTTTCTGGCCAACTACTCCTGTCCGTCGACATCAGACTACACAACTTGTTCCAGAAAGGACAACATGGGATGGTCAGCAATTCCAAACTCGACAATACAAAGAAGCATCGCTGACACACAATAGGCGCTATACCATGATTACTCTGGGAGCCCTTGCTATGGCTTTTGGGTTTATCCGCCTCTTCGTTTTCAGGATGCCTGAAAGTCCTCGTTACCTTCTTTCGAAAGGCCGCGACGCAGAGGCTGTAGCAGCAGTCAACCATATTGCCAAATTCAACCGGAAGCAGCCAACACTAACTCTGGCTATGCTGGAGAATATCGATGCGTCCTTGGGGCGTGTGTCTACAGACGGAGACGTAAAGAGGGGCCTTTCTCGTCGGGAGGTCATCAAAGAAAACCTACAAGACTACAAAGGTGTCAACTACCAAAGACTCTTCGCAACCAAGAAGTTTGCTCTTCATACGAGCCTTACGTGGCTGATATGGCTTACCATCGGTGAGTATATTGCACCTTATTGTCTTCAAGGCTAACATCTCCATAGGCATTGCCTATCCGCTCTACTTTGGCTTTATTCCATCATATTTGGAACACAAATTTAACTCAGTCTCGACTCTACACAAGACTTACCGTAACTACTGCATTGTCTCCGGTGTAGGCGCTGTCGGTCCTATAACCGCGGGATTTTTCGTGGAAACACGGTTTGGACGGCGCTGGATGATGGGGATTTCCGCCGCCTTGACAGGAGTTTTTCTTTTCGCGTACACGAGCGCCACATCAGAAACCGCTGATCTGGCTTTCCAATGCGTCACTGGAATCCTTGGAAACTTCGGTGAGTACCATCGATGATACACTGAAAGTGTCCATAGCTGATGGGGCTGTTAGAGTACGCTATCATGTACGCCTTTACGCCTGAGTCCTTCCCTGGCCCTTCGAGGGGAACAGGGACAGGTACTGCTGCGACACTGCTCCGATTCGGCGGACTCTGCGCGAGTTTGATCTCTGCAAATGTTGGCTTCACCACTGTCCCAATTTATGTCAGCGCTGCTCTGTGGATATGTGTTGGGATAGCGTGTTTCGGTTTACCTTTTGAAACACATGGACATGCTGCAGTTTGAATGCTGTCTTTGTATGAATCGGTGTTGGCCCTACATCCAAAGCGTACGCACGCATGCGTAAATTGCTAGACGTTATACAGAATATCTTGACTTACATGTTGTATTCAGTAGAGTAAGGACGGACTCATATGCGGATGTGATGAGTGAAATATGCCTTTGGAGCGAAGGAGTGGAGAAATCGAAGCTTTCGACTTGTCGAGAGTACACTGAATGCCTTAACTCCTTTACACCCATCAATATAGATTTAGATACGTTAATAAGTGGCTGTCAGCTTGGTCAGTTTGCCTATGCAACAGACATCCTTGGGTATTTCCATGATTTTGCTACGGCCTTCCGCTACTATACTCGCGGAGCTACAATGGGGTGATTTAGGTGCCGAGTACATACTGACTTTACAAGGTTGATATCTTGTGTGCTGGCGATGATCCGTTTTTGGCATTTATCTGTGTATGGACCAATTTAGTCCTACGGTACCTATTGTCCGTCATACGTACCATAGAAAGCTCTACCGATGTTTTGCTTCGCTCCACTACGTATCTGAACCAAGTTCACATGTGGTGTTACTGAAGAACGTGATCAACAATGCACCGCAAGCGATCTGTTAAAAATGACCTTTTGGCAATAAACAGACCCGAGGCGGCTAGAAATTGACAGATGGGTGGATATAAAAGCAAATATGCAGGTGATTTACAATACTGCCAAATGACCGCTAAAGGTGAGACGTTGAGGTCGTGAATAAGAAAGAAGACTGGAAATATTATGCGTACATCTACCGTTCCTGCCGTAGATATGACGAATGAAAAGGGAATTATCATTTGAGGTTGATCACTGTTTCCAGGTGGTGGCGCTCAACCAACAAACTCCAAGGCACATGTTCTGACAATCTCGTCCGGTCTCGATCGTAGGTCAGTATTCTCAGTTTTTTGGTGCGACTTATCTCGACAAACGGGGACAATTCGCCCAGTGTTTGATCTGAATTAGAAGAATCTTGGGCCAACCCATTGTTCAGTGATAAGCCTTCTGCAGGGCCACCAAGTATAGTGGATTGATTTCTGTGTTGAGTGTCTTCTGCTAATGCACGAAATGTTATCTTGTGCAAGGAAAGACATTCGATCGCTTGTCGCAGAAATGATACGCAGGACCCTTGCAAAAAATCAATGAAGGCTAGCTGAAGGTGTTCCAAGGTCCTGCGATGTTTCAAGAGGAAGGCCAGTAAAACTGATCCGCTGAGCATACATCCCCGAAGTTGAAATATTTTCAGTCGATTCCAATATTCCTGGAGAAAATATCGACCAAAAGTGTTTTCGAAGTGTTCTATCTTGGCATCCGCCGTACGAATGTGCAACTCTTCGAGGTTTGATGCAGCAGAAAACAGGCTGGCCCAACCTTCGTACTCCTCTAAGAGGATTCCGTCCTGTGGCAAGGCAACACTGACATCCAAAACTTTGAGATTCGACGTGACAGAGCGCAGCCGATCCAGTACACGGACTGGAAACAGTAACGTCTCAAACCTCATCCAGTTTGCCGCCGATAGATGCATACTCAGTCGATGTATGATAGCATGACTTGCCTCTGCGGCAGAGAGGATGGCCAGGAAGACATATGAAAGAGCATCGTGTGTTGACCTGTTTGAACCGATTTCAAATACGCCACATAACCCGAGCTGCCGACTAGTCTTCATGACGCCCCAAGTCTTACGATGCTTGGATATCCAAAAAGACTTGTAGTCCCCTATCTCGATGTTCTTGCAATTTCGGAGATTCCCCAATGCCAGTGCCAGAAGGATGGCGTCTTTGCCAGTCGCACGACGGAAGTCCTGGTCCTCGACAAATTGTAGCAATGCCTCTTCATGCTCGGAAACAAAGTCTCCCGGAGACGCCGGCAAAGGCGCGGGCAAATGGAGGCATTCTTGAAAGGGATCCGTGTCGATGATCAAAGTCTCGACTGCTGGCCCAAGCAAGCCATGGCGCGAAATATCAACGAGGGCATCGAGGCTATAGTCGGAGATGAAATGTTCTCTTGTCCTAAAGTAACGCTCGCTGAATGTGTCGAAGGACTTGGCTGTCAGCTCGCGACAGACGAGCCTGAGGCTGAAAAAGCTAGTTGGGTCAATGCGACGGACGATATCATTAATCAGTTCGACCGGCAGATCGGGCAGATTTCGCGCGTACATGCTGCAAAATAGTAACGAAAAGGGTGAAAGGTGCGAGGAGAAAGGTGGTTGCGGGGTGTAAGATGCATATAAGAGCGGAGTGACCACGTGATGACCAAGGATGTGATTGGTCGCCCAATCAAGGCCGACCTAAAGCTACAACATCATCGTAAAGACGTCGGAACTACCACACCTCCAATCGCCATGCAGGCCTTCCGTAGAAGCGCAGCTAAGGCTGCGCAGACCGCTCGCGTCTCCCTCCCCCGCCAATCGCGCCGCTGTGCCCACGATGCCCACCACGGCGCCCACGACGTCGCGTACCCGGCCGACGAACCCTTGGGCGTACGTCCGACCCCCCACCCTGCGACCTTCACCCCAGGAGGCACCAAGCAACCGCTAATGCCATGATGCGCTTTGCAGAAAGCCTTTTACCTCCTCGCCGGTGGTGTTCCTCTCGCCGCCATCATCTACAAGGTGGCCGGCGCCAACGCTGGTGACGACAAGCTCTGGTTCACGCGCTTTGTCAACTCCTACAACTACTACAAGGACATCTGGGCCGATCGCAACAGGCTCCACGTCGAAGCTCTCGAGGCCGCGGCCCACGACCGCCACCTGTTCTTCAACTCGACCGCGAGACGGCACGTTGACCTGAACTTCCCCGAGTACGTCTGTCCTTTGCTTCCGGCAAGCCCCGCGAAACGCCGCATTGCGATTCCGCATATGCTACTCCCGCAACTGGTGCTGATTTGGCATGAACAATTAGGGCCTTCAACACGGGTTCCCCCTACAACGTCCCCGCTGGTTCTCAGGCCGACCTCAGCAAGGTCATTGCCCACTACGAGAAGCAGAACTTTGAGGAGCAGGCCAGGAAGCTCGAGGCTTTGGCGAACGGTACCCTTAAGGCGGAGCAGTCGGCTTCTGGCATTGGCAAGAACCCCCCGAACCCTTAGATGCAATGTACCAGTAGAAGAGTTGCTGAGGGTTGTATATATCCGGTTCAAATGCCATCCGCGTTTAAAGAGACCGCGCCTGGCCGTGAGTCTGAGCAATTGGATTGTTAGGAGCCAAGACCATCGTGCATGATGTCAGCGACAGCGAGTTGCAACAACGCAAAGCAAAATCCGCCGATGAGGACTTACGACATTCTCTGGTGAGTAAGTCATTGTTAGGGGTCACCGTTTTCAATGATGATCACAGCCGACGTGAATGATCTTCGCGTGATTCGGTGAGTGCAAGATTCCCGACACCAAGATCGCAACGCCATCAGGGGAACTATTCATGACTCGCACACGTGCACCGCCAAAAATGGAGAACAGCCGTAGCCGGTGGTGTAACAACGGATTGCTGGTGGAAAACCTACCTGTAGACACTTAGGTATGGCGTGCGTGAGCAACGTGTATCACTCCTAATATGCAAGATTTGTGTAAGTATAGGTAGAGGAAGGACATGCTCATTTCGAGATCTGAGGAGCAAATATCATGCCAGAGGATTCATGGGATTCCACATAGCAATGGCTTCAATGTTGATGCAGAAGCAGTCTCCCCTTTTGAGGTTAGCAAGGGTCTTCTGCCGGGGCGCCAAATGAAGCTCCCCCTTTCATGTTTCCACTTTAACGTTGCCAAAAAAGCAAAATGTAGAGGCGGACTCCATCTGAATGTACTACATATCTCATTGTCTACCCAAAGATACCCCTGTGTTTAATGGTTGAATAAAAGCTACGCCACTATCGAGGACGGAGAATAAAAACAAAAAGCAATGAGCATACGCGTACGAACTCAATTAACGTCGGATACAACCGGAGTTTGGCTGGGTTCAGCGACAAGCCAATATAGTTCCCAACCCCTTGGGAGGCTAGAGAATAAGAAAGCGGCAGCACAACCGTCAAACGCGGACAAGAGCATAATCGGGTACCAGGTAAAGATGCGCGGGAAGACCATATGGCCGGGTTATACCCAGCGATGCAGCAGCTAGCATCGATTTCTTCTGTATAGTGCTGCACAACCAGACCCTGCATACTTCTTCCGCACGAAATGATCTCGCATAACGCGGCCCGCACTGGACGACCGGCGATCAAACGAGAGCGGAGAAGCCAGCGAACGTGCACCTTAAAAAACGCCCCCATCGACCCTTGCTTTTTTTTTTTTCCATGCGCGCCGCGACGCACTGTCGCACTGAGAATGCTTGCGCGAAGATGGCTTCTGCATCGAGTGTTTGCCGTCGGGTCTTTGCGTCCGTCATACCGCTCATATCGAACCACCAGCGATCAGCAATATACGTCTTACGATGCGTTTAGAGCGGCTGTTGTTATTTGGTAATCCTGTCGTCTACGTATATTGCCGTGGGGAAGTCTACCGAGGCGGGGTCAATGGTTGTGAGATCGTTACCTCTGCATCGAATTGTGTCGCAATACCAAGAGATTCGTCAATGGTACTCCGTACGTCCCTGCCGTACAATGTGCAAGGGAAAGCTGTCCTCGGGCTTGGGGCCACCGCTTTACATGAGTCAAGCGGACCGCTACTCCACTGATAAGGTTGAATGCCGAGCTTGGTGGAGCTGAGAAACGGCCGGGGACAGGGGCTGCGTGCGGAGACGTGCATCGGCCGATGTCCTCCACAAAACCCCCGAACCCCAGTTGTCTCACCCTGTCCCAACCTCACGGCAACGCGATCACGGGCAATGCGGCAGTATGTCAACCTCGGCAAGCCATGTTTGTCATGAGAATCGCATCTGCTTGTGTCTATTCATTCCGATATCGACAGCTAAGGACAGCAATTGGAGGGAAGAAAATGTAGTTTGACATTCCGCCCAGAACCTGACTGATTTTGGATTAGAAGAAAGTCGTAGCCACCCTTTTTTTACGCCCAACCAATATTAAGCCCAGTTCATACCTAGTATGAGGCGGGCGACGTACTTGACCGAAGAGCCATTGGAATCGTGGTAGAAAAGAGAGAGAAAGCAGAAACCCTTTTCTGCTTGCATAAAGGCGCACGAAGTCGCCGTAAACTGACAGAAAGGATTGTGATGCCAAAGTCCAGGAACGCCTTGCTTGCTAGTACGGAAGACCCAGGAATGATGCAAAGATCGGAAAAGAATGTGATAACGGGCATTGATTTCCGCCTCAATGCTCACAGCAAGACAGCAGCGCCAGCGAAGAGGCCGCCGACGACAGCTGCAAGACCGTAGTTGGCGCCCAGGCTGACGACCAACGAACTCGCACCGTTCTTCTTGGAGTCGTCATCGCCGAATCCGCCATATCCTTGAGTTTCCGCAGAAGAGGTTGCGGCAGCCGTGGCAGATGCGGATGTAGTCGCGTTGACGCGCTTCGGGTTCTGAGCGCCGCAAGGGTTGTTCGCACGGCAGTTGTAGGAGCACTGGTTGTTGGAGCCGCAGTTGCTCACGCACTGGTTGTTGTACTCGGTGCACTCAAAGTAAGGGATCGTCTCGCTGTACTCAGAGACGTTCGGAGAGAGGCCATTGGAGCAGACGCAAGAGAACTCTACTCCGAGTTAGCATTGGTCGGACCACATTGACGAATCAAAGCCAAGCACGTACGAAGGGTGTCCGGGTCACAGTCGTTTTCCTCAGTAGAGTCCGTGTTGTTCGCGGTTTGCAGACAGATGAGCGGGCACGCAGACTTCTGGGAGGTGCACCACTGGTTCCTGTCCGAGATAGAGACAGAGTCCGGGTCGATGTTGGTGTTGATGGCGCTGGCGACGGTCGCCAGCTGAAGGAAGATGGAGAAGTAATGCATTGTGAGAGAAAAGCTGCAGGTTGCGAAGGAAAGGATCAGCGAAGTGTCGTAGGCAGCAGTCGGAGGGCAAAATGAGCTAATTGCTGGGGCAAAGAAGAGGAATGCTGCGGTAATATAGCTACTGACCTAGGCTTGGCGGGCCGGGACGTGCTTGGAAAGCGACAGGTAGTTTAGTGAAGAAGTGGGTCTGAAGAAGGCGAAGACGAAGCGAGTGGTGAGTCTCAGGCGAGATAAAGAGGTGAGGCCGGGCGGATCAGCAGTGAAGGGGGGTTTAAGGGTGGCCGGGACAGCTAGCTCCAATATGCACGAAAGCACAGGCCTGGTGGTGATAGCTCTCCACAAGTGCGAAAATAAACCCCGCTATTCCGTCTTATCCACAAGGGCGGCTCACCAATGTTGGGAGGGGGAACATCACGAGCTAGTTGTTCAACATGATCGATGACCGCCTGCGTGGCCCGGGGGCCGGTCGCCTTCAGTCGTTCGGCATCCATGCCGGGGATCTCTCGTTTATGCAGCCCGCAGTGCAAGCCAGACAGCCAATTGCGCCAGTCAAATGCTAATCACGATACGCGGCCGCTGGAATATTCCACCAGAAGGTGGCACCACGCCGCCTGCCGGGCGGCGGCAGCAAACACCAGCTTTCTCCGCAGGCAGGTGATGCCGGCCAGGTCTGGCGACGCAAGAGCCAATGGCCATTGCTCGCCTTTAAGGGTCTACGACACTACGCCACAATCCAGCACCTCACAACCGGGGAAGGCGATCATATCGTATCCGTAATGTACCCTACCTACCCTCTACACCACCTCGTCGCGAGCATTCCATCCGCGCGACTCCGAAGGTCGTACATGCTCTGGGAGGGTATCCGGCGGCCAGAGCCGTGGTAAGCTGAGGATGGCTCCGCTATTGTGGCGCCGCAAGCGGCAACAGTGCAGGTCACTCTCTCACAAGCTTGGACCGAGATCCCGAACCCATGTCTTGAGCTGGGCCGGATTGCGGCAGATGCAGCATGGCTTGGGACACAGCCTGTCGGCGCCGCCGGCATGCATCCGTACGAAGCTTGGGAGGAGAAAAAAGCAGAAGTGGCATCAGAGCCTCGTGCCTTTGCGGTAGTGACGGTCATAGCGGTGGCGGCGGCAATGGGCGAAGGTGGAAATGGGATGGATCAGTCAATTAAATCGTGGCCAAGGTCAGGAGCACAGGGAGCCTTGGCACGGATGAGGTGCATCCAGGTAAGCCAGCCCCAAAAGCTGCATGGGAGAGGCCCTCGGGCCCCGCAGAAACCGTGCACCCTTCACTACGTCACGGGCCTTCTTTCTGCCGCAACTCGCCCGTTTCCGTCAGTCGGCCACCCTCGACCGACCCGCACTGAAATCGAACCGCATCACCTCCTTGCTTGTGTTCCTGTCCGCCCGAGTCCTCCTCCGCGCTAGATGGATGGAGTCTGCTGCATCTGTTCCTAACTCTCCCAGCCACCCGCCGCAAAACGGCGACATTTCACCCGCCCAGCCTTCTGCTACCCCAGACTCCACCGCGCCTGATCAGCAGATAGTCCCTCCCTATTGGGGCCGCCAGCGGGGTGCTTCGACCTGGAGCTACGCTTCGGTTGAAGAGCACCGCGCCGACCCCATTAGCCTGCAGGACAACACCGTTGAGGGCTCTGAACATGACAGGTATGGCGTACATGGCGCTGAAAAGCACTCAACGCTAATTCAATTCTAGCGCTGTATGGGCTAAAAATGTCACCATTGACTCGTACGTTATCGTCAGCGGGAACGTTCCAGGCATGGGCGACTATGTTGTCTGGAACTGTACCGTGGAAACTTTGGACGTGAGTTGCTTGTTTGTGCAGCTCTTGCACAATGCAGTCGCTGATCTTGGACAGGGAGGTCCCATGAAAATCAGAAAGCGGTATGCTTTGCTTTCCATTGTGCATCGCACCCCTAGCTTTATGTTCATGTTGTTGCAGGTATTCCGAGTTTGACGAGTTACGGAGGAAACTGGAACAGACGTTCCCACTCGCTGGAGCGTCACTGCCAGAACTCCCTCCTAAGAGCATGATATGTATGTCTTCTGCATCTATCTTTGCCGGCCGCTTATTGACTTGTCTTTAGCCCGATTCAGGCAACGATTCCTTGAAAAGCGGAAAGCCGGTCTTTCCTATTTTCTCAAGTAAGTTCACGTTCTAGAATATCAGGCAAATTCTCTAATGCCGGTCAGTTGCGTTCTCCTTAACCCAGAATTTTCGGCATCCCCTGTCCTCAAAGAGTTTCTGTTTACCTAAATACAAGCCGTCTGACTGCTTCCTAAGCCGCTGCGCACAATTAATGTCTTGTACTTTAACAGCTGAATGAGCCACTACACTTTGCTTTTCAAGCGTATGTCAAATCATGTGGCGGCGCCAAACATCCTATTCCTTACTTAGACTATATGTCTAACTCTAATTTGGTAACCATGTCCCGTTTTGAGGGTTTACAAAGTCACTGAGTAGGCAGGACTCTTGAAGTGATAGCATCACAAGCACGACATAAACTTGCTCATCTCGAGCCTTTTACTTGCCCATTTGTGAGCGGTTAGGCAAAGGGTAGCTGCATTGAGCGTTGCACGGATTCGGCCCAAGTGCTCATGGCCTCAGCTATGATTTAAAGGAGATAGTATAGCACATCCCGGTCAGCATCCGCCATGCGCTTTGCCTTTGAGCTATGCGGGGTCGAACGATGCGGCATTGGCCCCATGAAACGGCACTACGCCCAATGGCGCGAGTTGACTGTCTCTATAAACACATGACTAGAGGCAGGTGTGCAGGATCACGAAAAACCCTCAGCCTCCTTCTGATAATAACGCGAAATCTTGGTGAGGGAGCGTATCATGGCCCAGAAGTTGAGCCAGCCGGCGGTCTATTCGACAATAGCATCCGCATGTTTCCGCTAGACGCTCTGACCATTGCGACATCCAGTTTCAGCCAGCGACAGACCATGAGTGAAGTTCGTTGAGACTTTTTTGCTGGTTGTGAAAGTGCATTTTAATGTGAACTCGTGTATGATGGCTAGCCCTTGCGAAACGCTTCCCTTTCGCCTACAGCCTCGACCAAACTCAGAAGGGTCCCCTAACACGCTCGCGGTACGCCCGAGCTCGCAAGCTTTCACATCGCCCTAGAGAGCGCAAATCCCTGAGGACGCAGAGCACAGAAAGATGACCTTGGGAGCCCAAGCAAACAATGGTCAGCTCCTCGCGACCATTGAACCGCTCCTCAAGTGGGCGCTTCACACGTCGACCTGGTCCTAAAAATATCGCGACCGACGAGCCAAACGAGAGCCGCCCATCATCGCAGACAGCAGCCGCGCCCGCGTCGCAACACGCGCCCTCTGTTCCCTCCGGCACGTCATCGATTGCGCCAGCCGAGAAGACTCCCACTGCATCACCAGAAGCGCAGCGATTGAAGCTACTGGGCGCCAACCCTGCCTTGAAGAACCGCGGCTCAACGCGTAAGAAGGGCGCAACCCCGATCAGCAACGCTGAGGAACCGAGACCTCCGACCAAAGTCACAGTCACACAGCCTCACGGAGGGCTAGTACAAACCACCAACGGCGTGCAAACATCGCTAGACATCCGCGAGGACGATGTCCCCTCGAATTCCGCAACACCCAAGCCTGAGGGCACGGGCGCTCTACTGGTCCCCGGCTCTGGGCCACCACAATCTCAGGACAAGAGAACGCTGAGGAGTCAAGATGGAGGATCGCGCTTAAAGAGCGACCTGGCTATATACTTTCCAAACTATGACGAGGTGATTTCAGGTGTCCCCCAGCAACCAGGTACGTTGAACTTGTGACCCCCTTGCGACTGGTATAGGGTAAATGGTTGACGCAAAATAGACTTCCTAGAGGTTGATGCGCCTATCTACATTACAGATGAACCGCTCAAGGAAGCCCCTACAATCCCCGTGCCTGCAGCACCAGCGCCACCGGCGCAAAAGCGGCGTGCGTCTGTCCTCACTTCCTCTCAATCCTCCGCCAATGGTCCGTCCGCCTACGTGAACGGTTATAGGCCCGTTGCTCAAGTGAACAGCGGCACACAGACCGTCGATTTTTCTACTATTGTTCGGCACACTCCTCATCACATAACAAGCGATCCTCTGGGCGATGATGTCTTTTTCAAGGCACATCGGCGCGCAGAGCGCAAAGAGAAACAACTTCGCAACATAGAGAAAGAAAGGGCTATGCACGAAAAAGTGCAATTAGAGCGTTTGTTGGACGGGCTTCTTGGCCATGACTGGCTACGCGTCATGGGTATCACGGGTATCACCGACTCGGAAAGGAAGGAATGGGAGCCCAAGCGCGACTACTTCATTGCTGAAGTCAGAGCTTTAGTGGACAAGTTCCGAGTATGGAAGGAAGAAGAAAAGAGACTGAAAATGGAGAAGGAGCAAGCTTTGCTTGCCAAGGAAGAAGAAGAGGACGAAGCCGAGCCTGTGGAAGAGAAAAGTACCGGCGAACCTGCCGATTCCAGCGATGTTGATGTCTGGGCAGCAAGGCAACTTCAGCAAGAAGCAATCTCGGCCAGTGGATCAAGCAAATCAAAACCACGGCCTCCTCCACCTCCTATCATCTACAGACCGCCGTCGCCGGAAAGACCTTTTACGTCATTCTATTCGAAGCCTCACATGCGTGCTGCTGCACTGGGTAAACAACGGCACGGACGTAATCTACTTGCGTTTGGACAACCCATTCCAGAGTTTGTCGAGGAAGAATTCGGCTTACCAGAGGAATATCTGGCTCCTGATGCGCTACGTGCGCATGCACGAAACAAACGGCGCAGGATGAGAGAGAAGAAGCAGTAGCTTCCTGTACAGCAACCAATAGCCTTTTTATTTCTTTTTAGTTTTCATGGCGTTTTGAACTGTGCTCGAAACATGGGCGCGCAGGACACACATAGGGACACATGCTTGTTAGGGCCCGGCGTTTTTTGAGTGTTCGTCAAGCTGGTTCTCATGGACTGCTTTTCGGCGCGCAGCGGGCTACGGACATGGTGCTCCAAAGGCAAACGAGGTGTGTACATCTAGTTTAATGCAGTTCCTATTAACAGCCAGACATTGGACGCATTTGAAATTGTGCCTACACCTGGCCAGGTCTTGAAAACAGTCGATGATGTTGTGTGTGCATTACTTGTCTTGCTTAACAAACTGGCAAACCGCTGCAAGCCTGACATTGTGAACAGCAAAATGCTAGATTAAAATGTGGTGGAATGATCTGGCGAGGCTCTGCGAGGTTGTCGAGGAAATGCCAAGCTCGGTCCCAGTTCCGCGCTACGAAAGCACGGAGGTCGGCGCAGATGGCTCCGATGAGCAGCAGCGTCAGAGCTGGGCATCGCGGTCCCAGTCAAAGCCGCGACACGGTTGCGACGGCCACAGCTCACGTTCGCTCGAGGACAACCCCTCCGACCACCACCACCGCCACCACTGCTCGCCGCGCTCGAGTCTGCCGTGCCCCGCGACTCAATCGCCTTCCGTTTCCTCGACCGGTTACGCGCTTGTTTCCACCGACCGCTACACCTCGCGTCCGCACCACCACCGCGCGCCGGCGACGGTTGCCTAGCATGCGCTCATAATCTTGGCGATGAGTAGGATAACTTCAGCGACGAGGGTCTCTGGTTGATACCTGGAACGGCATCATGCCTGGTCCTTTCGATCCCAGCGCGGCTTCGGCCGCGACAGCGCCCCCTCCACCTGGGCTCGGATTCTCTGTCTATTCGGAAAAGGTCGACCTCGACGTTGATTTCGCGGAACGCACACTGAGCGGACGGGCGGAAATTACAGTCCAGCCTCACTCGAAAGGACTCAAGCATGTCAAACTGAACTTGCGGCAAGCGCATGTCAAGCAAGTGCAGGTCGAGGGGCGGATGGCTGAGTTTCGCCACGACGATCCTCACTCGCATATTTATCTTTCAGAGAGGAGCACGGTACACCACCATCGAATCCTGCGGCAAAAGGTGGAGAAACACCTGGAAGGCGAATGTGATGATGACTTGGTCCTCAAAATCCCCGATAAGGTGCAAATTAGGGAACTGGGCGCCTTCACAGCTGAATCGCAAAACCTCATGGGCTTCGGCTCACTCGTAGAAACGCCAGCGCTCAGAACAATTGACGACAATGGGCCCGTTCTCACGCCGCTTAAGATCGTCATCGACTATGAAATCAAGAACTTCCGGGATGGCCTTCACTTTGTTGGCCTAGAGGAAGGAGATACAAGATACCCACATGTCTATACGCGGAATACACAGTTTCCAGGTACCGCTTCCTGCTTGTTTCCATGCGTGGACGACGGATCTTCGCGCTGCGTCTGGGACATTTCTATACGGTATCCGAGAACGCTTGGCGATATCTACCGGAACGCCGCTTCCCTGCCTTTGACCAACAGTGCAAATGGGGTACCCACACCTCCGCTTACACAGGCCAACGGCCTGCCGAACGGTGTCAGTCACGATAGTGATGTGCCAATGCCTGATGTCGATGAGAACCCCTTGGATCTAAGTGAAGAAGACAAAGCGCTGGAATTGTCGGTAATCTGTTCTGGTGACATGACCGATGATGTACGTAGTAGTCCCAATCGAATGGCGCTAAGATGTCTAACACTGTTCAGATTGTCGATCCCAAGGACCCCTCTCACAAAACGGTAACTTTCAGCTGCGCGTCGTCCGTGGCACCTCAACACATTGCATTCGCCATAGGTCCTTTCGAACATGTTGACCTTTCGGACCTGCGCGAGAGTGACGACGATGAGATGATGGGCCAAGCTGCTATCCGAGTGCACGGCTTCTGTCTGCCAGGAAGGAACGACGAAGTCAGAAACACGTGCATGGCTTTGGCTAAGGTAAAGCAGTCCACTTGAATTCTTAGCAGGTTTGTTAACGCAGCCCCAGGCAACGGATCATTTCTCCAAGACGTACATTTCCTACCCCTTCACAAGCTATAAGGTTATATTCGTAGACGACCTTACTCCTGATATCGCTCACGCGGCATCACTCTCACTATGCAGCAATTCCCTTCTCTTTCCTGAGGACATAATGGATCCACTGATACCCGTTACACGCAAGCTCGTCCACGCGCTTGCTAGTCAATGGATAGGTGTAAATGTCATCCCCAAAGGTCCTCAGGATTGGTGGGTAATCTATGCAGTATCTCACTTTATGGCGGACGACTTTATGGAACAGTTGTGTGGCAGAAACGAACACCGATTCCGGATGAAGACTATGGCGGACAAGGTTGTCCAACTTGATGCAAACAGACCATCGCTGCAAGACCTTGGAGAATATCTCGCCCTTGATCCTTCAGAGGTCGAGTTTATGGAGTTGAAGGCCCCTCTAGTCATGTTCATTTTGAATCAGAAGATCAAGAGGATGGCAAAAATGGGAGTGGCGAAGGTCATCTACAAGGTCCTCCTTCAAGCGAAGACTGGTAAGCTGCAGAACGGAACCATTTCCACCGAAGATTTCACTGGAATCGTGGACAAATACCTCGAAAGTAAGCCGATACCCGATTTTTGGAGACAGTGGGTGTATGGCGCTGGATGCCCACACTTTTTCGTCACACAACGCTTCAACAAGAAGAAATCTGTCATCGAGTTTGCTATCAGGCAAACTCAGGGTGAAAAGGGTGACGACTTGGACGACTTTGGGCAAGAAGTTAAGGATCTCGATCCAACCAGCTTCATGAAAGAGATCAAAGAAGGCAACAGTAGCATGGAGAAGAAGAAGCCGAAGAGGGTTTTTACTGGTGCCATGACAATCACAGTTCATGAGGCGGATGGGACGCCTTACGACCATGTCGTACCCATTCACGACTCCACAACGAGGTTTGACGCCCCGTACAACACCAAGTACACCCGACTAAAGCGGTCTCGGCGGCAGAAAGAAAGAGCTGCTGCTGCTGCGGGTATTGACATATCTGGTGATGGCGAAGTCCAAGACGACGTCCTGCTTTACTGCTTGGGCGATATCTTGGATGCCGAGCAAGACGTTCAAACCTGGAAATTTGCCGACTGGTCGCCCGAGGACGAAAATGCCATGAACCAAGAAAACTACGAGTGGATTCGGATGGATGCCGACTTCGAGTGGATTTGTAAAATCACGTTTGCACAGCCGCATTACATGTACGTTTCGCAGCTGCAGCAAGATCCCGACGTGGTAGCGCAAGTCGAGTCGGTTCAATACCTCATGTCGCAAAGACCTCATCCTCTCATATCGACCATTTTAACGCGCACACTTATGGATCATCGTTATTTCCACGGAGTCCGCACGATGGCTGCCGACGGCATTGCAAGATGTGCCGTGCCATTCGGACCTGAAATTCATAACATAGGCCTTTTCCATTTACAGAAAGCATTCCAAGAACTTTTTTGTCTTCCGGACTCGCCAATGGTCCGCTCCAACGACTTTTCGAATAGGAACCAATACCTGGTCCAGTGCGCTATTCCTAGAGCGATTGCGAAGTTCCACGATGAGAACGGAAAAGGTCACATGTTGGCGAAGAGGTGGATCCTTGACAAGTTGAAGTTCAACGACAACTCTCACAACGAGTTCTCAGACTGTCACTATGTGGCAACTCTGCTCTCTTGTCTCGCCGAAGTCCTCAAGAATGACAAGAAGACTAACAACTTGGCACAAGACGAATTTGACTTTATGGATGAACAAGACATAACTGAGTTCCAGAAGGACGCAATGAACGAAATTGAGCGTCATCGAAGGCTTGATGAATGGATACCTTCGTATCAAAACGTGATCACTGGCACGGCGCTCCATTGTCAGCAGCTTCTGATGGAAAATGGAATTGTCCCTCGTCAGGCCGTGGATTTCTTGCAGTACACCAAACCGGGGGCAGCTGACTTCGTCCGCCTCAAGGCCATGGAATGTCTGGTTGAGCTGGACATGCTTCTGTCACCAACCATTCTAAAGTTCCTTTTCTACACAATGGCGTACGATCCTTCGCCGTATGTTCGGGAACAAGTCTACCATATGATCGGCCGAGGCCTTGGCAAAATTGCCATTGGGAAGAAAGAGCAGGAAGAAAAGGCCCCGGCAGTTGAAGATGGCGGCCTCGTTATCGAGCAGGAAGTTTCCACCGAAGTTCGCCAAGCAATTAAGGAGCGAACACAGACCATAGCCGGTGCGCGAAAGGCTTTGAAAGCGGAGCTTGAGAACAACCAAGTTCTGAAGGATGCCTTAAGAAAAGCACTCACATCGCCCTCGGTGGGCCTTCAAGAATGGGGACGTATACTGGAGCTTTGCCAGCTGCTTTTTGAGCCCAAATTTGATCTGGTTGTTGCCATTAAATACCCCAAATATTGGAGCGTCAGACATCTCGGAAAGGGCAAATTGACCTTTTCCAGAAGCCAAAAACTGCGCACGAAGCCTCTCAACAAGATCAAGGGAGAGCAAGCACTTTTGCGCAAATCCACAGAAAAACGCCGTCGGAGTTCAGTTGCAGACGCACCACAGGCCAAAAGACCGCATGTTGGTCCATCTGCTCCACCCAAGCCGAATGGCCTACCTTCACTCAAGCTCAACTTGGGAGGCGTCAAGAAGGAACCGAGCGCACCTGCTTCTGCAACCACCCCTTCGGCAGCGCCAATCGTCAAACCTCCAACCCCGAGCGTCCCCGCTCCTCCTAAGATACAATCTCCATTTCCGAAAAACGTCAATCCGTTCGCGAAGCCGCCTACGCCTTCTCCAAGACCTACACCGGATTCCAATGCGCCGCCGAAGAAGCGTCGCAAAATGGTCAGATTCAAGGTCAATCCTCAGAGCTTGGCCAGCATCCTCCGCAAACCTCCCGCCCCCACGATTCCGCGCCCGCCCAAGGTTCATTCGTCTCTCAATGGGTCGATCCGGCCATCACACCCGCAGCAACGCCCACTCGGGCAGCAGTCAAAGCCACGACCGGAATCGCGGCCGGAGTCGCGGACAGAAGCGCGACCGGATTCGCGCCCAGCTTCACGAACAGAGATGCGGCCAGAAGCACGGTCGGAGTCTCGTCCGCTACCACGCCCGATAGGAGCACCGTCGGCCTCGCGCCCAGTATCATCGCGGCCGGAATCGCGACTTGACAGGCCGGATTCACGTCCCGTGTCACGACCGGCATCGCGCCCAGCATCTCCGGCAGTCGGACACCGTCCATCGCCGTCGCCACATATGCAGCGGCCACCGTCGGTCAACACTCAGCGCGCGCCTTCGAGTGGGATTCCGCGGCCTAATCCGATTTCAAAGCCGGCAGCGCAACCCATAAGGCAACCGTCTGCAGGCAGCCCTGCCTCGACGACGACACCGGCCGGGAGCCCGCCGGTTTCGGCAGGAGGCGAGGGTAAGCCGAAGTTGAGCCTGAAGCTGAAGCTGGGGAAGCCGAAGCCACCGGCAGATAGTAGATAGATAATGGCGAATGGAGGAAGTTCGGTTTTGTGGTGACTGTTTCGTTCATTCAAAAGTTGCACGCAGGCACGGCGTTCCGGGCACCAGGCGGCGGCCGGTCTGGATTTGCATGCATTTTTTCTGTTAGTAGGTAGGTAGTTAATGCGCTAGGCGGCGGCGGTGGCAGTGAAAGCATTTTCTCGCGTCGGCGCTCGCGACGTTGGCGGTAGCCGGAGCGGCGTGGCGGTAAGTGGCCTAAGCCCCGACTAGATTAGCGTAGCGCGGAGCTTTGGGTTACTAAGAATGGGCAAAATTTCAATTTGTGCACAAAAGTTCTGAAGGCCTCGCGCAACCCTCCACCCTCCATCTCTCAACCTCAACCTCCAAATACCCTCATAGAAACCCCATATTCATCATGAGTGACGAAGTCTACGAGGGTGCGATCGGTATCGATCTTGGTATGCTGCCTTCCCTCCGCTCAATCCTCTTTCGCGCCGCTAACCTGCTCTCTTCCCCGCAGGCACCACCTACTCTTGCGTTGCCAACTATGAGGGCACCAACGTTGAGATCAGTACGTCTCCCGCGCCTCCGCCGCTCGTGGAGCCCATACTCATGTTTTCCCAGTCGCCAACGAGCAGGGTAGCTTCACCACTCCCTCCTTCGTCTCTTTCACCGCCGAGGAGCGTCTCATCGGTGAGGCCGCCAAGAACCAGGCTGCCATGAACCCCATCAACACCGTCTTCGATGTCAAGTGAGTTGGGCGCCAAGAAAATCTTTTTTTCTTGTGCGGCACGAGGGCTAACAGTCCGCAGGCGTCTCATTGGTCGTCGCTTCGACGACGAGACCGTCAAGAAGGACGTCGAGTCCTGGCCCTTCAAGGTTGTCGACCAGGGCGGCAACCCCTTCGTCCAGGTCGAGTACCTGAACGAGACCAAGACCTTCTCTCCCCAGGAGATCTCCGCCATGGTTCTTGGCAAGGTACGTACCTCGTGCGCAACGCAAGAAAATTACGCAGTCAACTGACCGCCATACAGATGAAGGAGGTTGCCGAGACCAAGCTCGGCAAGAAGGTTGAGAAGGCCGTCATTACCGTCCCGGCCTACTTCAACGACAACCAGCGTCAGGCTACCAAGGACGCCGGTTCCATTGCTGGCCTCAACGTCCTCCGTATCATCAACGAGCCCACCGCTGCCGCTATCGCCTACGGTCTCGGCTCCGGCAAGTCCGAGAAGGAGAGGAACGTCCTGATCTACGACCTTGGTGGTGGAACTTTCGATGTTTCCCTTCTTCACATTCAGGGTGGTGTCTTCACCGTCAAGGCCACCGCTGGTGACACTCACCTTGGTGGTCAGGACTTCGACACCAACCTTCTTGACCACTTCAAGAAGGAGTTCCAGCGCAAGACCAAGAAGGACCTGTCCGGTGACGCTCGTGCCCTCCGTCGTCTGCGCACTGCTTGCGAGCGTGCCAAGCGTACCCTCTCCAACGGTACCCAGACCACCGTCGAGATCGACTCTCTGTTCGACGGCGAGGACCTGAACTCCAGCATCACCCGTGCTCGTTTCGAGGAGCTCAACGGCAAGGCCTTCACTGGCACCATTGTCCCTGTTGAGCAGGTCCTCAAGGACGCCAACATTGACAAGTCCAAGGTTGACGAGATCGTCCTTGTTGGTGGTTCCACCCGTATCCCCAAGATCCAGAAGCTCCTGAGCGACTTCTTCAACGGCAAGAAGCTCGAGAAGAGCATTAACCCCGATGAGGCTGTTGCCTACGGTGCCGCCGTCCAGGCCGGTATCCTGTCCGGCAAGGCCACCTCCGCCGACACCGCCGACCTCCTGCTTCTGGATGTTGTTCCCCTCTCCCTGGGTGTCGCCATGGAGGGCAACATCTTCGCTCCCGTCGTTCCCCGTGGCCAGACCGTCCCCACCATCAAGAAGAGGACCTTCACCACTGTTGCCGACAACCAGCAGACCGTCCAGTTCCCTGTCTTCCAGGGTGAGCGTGTCAACTGCGAGGACAACACCTCCCTGGGTGAATTCACCCTTGCCCCTATCCCTCCCATGAAGGCTGGTGACGCCCAGCTTGAGGTCGTCTTCGAGGTCGACGTCAACGGTATCCTCAAGGTCACTGCCACCGAGAAGTCTTCCGGCCGCACTGCCAACATCACCATCTCCAACTCTGTTGGTAAGCTCTCGTCCACCGAGATTGAGAGCATGATCAACGGTAAGCCCCCATGACGATGCCAACTCAATTGAACAAGACGCTAATCAATCGAACAGACGCCGAGAAGTTCAAGAACCAGGACGAGGCTTTCTCCAAGAAGTTCGAGTCCAGGCAACAGCTCGAGGCCTACATCTCCCGTGTCGAAGAGATGATCTCCGACCCCGGCACCAGCATGAAGCTGAAGCGCGGCCAGAAGGAGAAGATCGAGTCTGCCCTGTCCGACGCCATGGCCCAGCTCGAGATCGAGGACGCCGGCTCCGACGACCTCAAGAAGAAGGAGCTTGCCCTCAAGAGGACCGTCACCAAGGCCTTCTCCACCCGGTAAACGGATCGCGAGCACTAGGCTCTTGCTTTTTGAAAATGCGACGGCGATTGGCCGTCTCGGGGTTTCATGTGTTCCTTTTTTGACCAAACGGCTTTTTTTCTCATTTAGACTTGGCGGGTGCAACGGGCTTCCAAAAATAAAAGTGTTATGATGTCCTTCACTTTGTGTATGGAAAGGCTTTAGCGGCCCCCAAACGGTCTCATGGTCCACGGTCCACGGCCTAGTACTACCACACTTCCGATGTTCAGGCTTTGCTTTTGTTTGTGTTTTCGTCTTGAGCGTGATGCGTGAGCGAGCGTATATCTCCATACTGTAGCGCTTGATCTTGACTGCTGGCGGGGGAATGGGATGACGATGCTGCTGCTGTTATTGCTGCTGGCTGGCTGATCGGTCTGCTGTTTTCGACAAGTACAGTAACAAGAAAAAGAAAAAGAAGCTCCTGCGCGCCTGTTTGTCGCCTGAATACCTACCTACCTGTTCTACCAACCGCTGCTGCTGCTACTGCCCGTGATCTCGTGTTGTATGTATGTCGCTGTGCTTCGTGTGTGTGTGACGGATGATGCTTCTGGTGGTAGTGGTGGTGGTGGGCGTGCGTGCGCGTTTTAGCTCACGTGGGCTAAGGGCGCTGGGTCGGTGGGCTGTGGGCGTGAGAAGCATGCTGTACAGGTATGCTCTGCGTGCACGCATAATAGTGGTTGTACTAACTAGGCTACGAAGAACACACAACGAGGAAAAGAGCAGGTCCAGTATTTGGAGGAAGCCAAATGAATTAATAGGTGACGTTATATTGAGGTGTAAAAGGTGTGATGTGTTTTCTGTATGAACGATGTCTTGTGGCTACGGTTGGTTATTGTGCTGTGGTTATTGTGAGTATGCAGATGTATTTGATATTTTCTATATCTGTAGGTAGGCCGCACGCTGCAGGACGGCATAGAAAGGGTTAAGGGGATAATAGATTTGCTTTCCACTCCGTACAAACAACATTTAAGGTGTGTGCATGTAGTACGTGCGCGGTTATAAGACCTTCTTGATTATGTGCAGGACTCAGTCTTGTAGCTAGGGACTGCTTGGATCCGTCCCTATCCCGCTGAACGGTGAATCACCATTAATGGCGAGGGATGTTATGCCATAGTCATGTTTATAGGAAAGAAACATCTCGTGTGAACATTCATTTGACATTATCATGCAGCAGACAGACTTCTACATACATAGCCTGCCTGCCGGCCGGGTCTTCTCGTCTCGCTCAACTACACGCACACATACACCGCTTTAGAACCAGCAAAGATAACAACAAGCAACTCCTCGATCACGGCATTAATGGTGTCATCTCAGGTCGTTATGGCCCGCCCGCCCACATGGGGGTGCAGGCTTAGGAAGGGCGATAGGTGGTGATCTTCCCGAACGTGTCGGCCATGCCCCAGATACCTTGGCGCAGGCACGAGAGCTGGACGATCTGCGAGTGGTCGACGAAGAGGTTGACGTCGACGCCGAACTCGCGGATGTACCTGTTAGGAGGGAGATATTGTTAGCGGTGGAGATTGGTGAGAGGCGTAGGTATGTATGTAGAGGACTCACCAGTTGAAAACCTTGGGGTCGGCAGCCTCAAACATGACCTTCTCCATGGGCAGCTCCTTGAGAATACCCTGAATGACGTCGGTGCGCCAGCTCTTGACGTTCTCGGTGATGCCCTCGCTCTCAATCATCAAGCGCTCGACTCCGGCATCGATAAACTTCTTGCCCATATTAATGACCTTGCTCGGATCACTGGAGCCCATGGACTCGAGATCCGATGCCTCAGTATCGCCACCAGCGCCAAACTGGATGCCCAGCTCCGGCTTCGCCTTCATGCCGAACTGGTGGACGCGGTCCACCAAGCGCAGCCAGTCGGGCTGCGGCAGCGACAAGAACCCCGTGCTCACCTCGATGACGTCGAAGCCCACGTCCTTGCACTTCTGGAGATAGCGGTCCACGGCCGCGCCCGCGTCGCTCTGCGTCAGCACGTGCTCCATCCAGCCGCCGGTGGAGACGTAGACGCCGTGCGCGTGCGCCAGCTCTATCAGCTCGCGCAGCGCCGCCTCCGGGAACAGGCTGAAGCTGCCGCCCGCAAACTTCAGCCCGTCCACGTGGTGCCCCATCGTCTTGAGCACGTCCGACAGGTAGTTGGGCCCCATCGCGCTGTAGTACGGGCCCCGGATCTCCGTCACCCCCGCCGTGCGCGGCTTCGCGGGCCGTGGGTTGTGCCGGATGAACCCGAACCCGTTGTCTTTGTCTTCGAGCAGGATCTTGGGCGCTTCGGCGAGTGGCCGCGCCGTCGAGAAGGCCCGTGGTGCTGTCTTTTGGAGCGCGCTGCGCGCCAGCATGTTGTTGGTGGTGGTGGGGAATGTGCGGGTTGCGGCGCGGAGGAACGACATGAGGATTGATTATTTGTTTGGGTCTAGTTATAAAGGTAATTAGTCGATGATAGGTAACAGAGAGTAATTGGGAGATTAGTAGACTGGAGGATAGAAGCGTGCTGTGTAGGGAAGTAAATATTCGTAGGAGCTGGGGACCTGCCCGAGCTCCCATGCCTTACGTCATATTGCGGTTATCAATTCAAGGGTCCTGCTGGGGAACCTCATCGTCCGATTCGGAGCTCCCGTGCCGCGTGCACCTACAAGACGAATTATGGGGATGTCTCGCCGATGTGATCCGATTGGGAGCCCTAGGATTCCTTTAAATAATTTGTCCTAATCGAGCACGTCGACATCAGTTGGTCGGGACCTCCAACACCAACTCGTCCGAAGTAGGAGGCTGAACCCCACGGGATTGATGATTTGTGTTTTGGTATTTAGGTAGTGATCGTAGAGATGTACATGTGTCTAGCCGCAGTGTGCGCCTAGCTGGTCTATCGACATTAATGTAGGTAAGTCTTTTGTCATCTACACTCCGATAGCGCAGCTCCGAACTCCGCGCTCTGCCACTCCGCTGCGCCCCCCAATGTTAACAATGCCATACTGCTACAAACGCTTGCTAACTCCCCAAATGCTTGTGCCGCCGTCTCTTCGTCAATTAAATGCTGTATCCGGAAATCGTGTATGAGGGCAGGTTATGACGAGAAGGTATGTGTAATCCCTCTCGCCTGGCGACGCGATCATGCTCGTATGAATCGTAGTAGTTCGTGTCCATTTACTCTAGACGCAGACTGCAAAAGCAGTCTAGTCACTCTTTCTTCCAGTGCCGTTGGGTACGCGCTTCTCAGAATCCAACTGACCGTTCTCTCCCTCCTTGTCCTTCTTGCTCGGAATGGTGAGGCAGTTGATTCCAAGGAAGCTGCAGATGCTGTTGACGACCAGAATTGCCCAGTTCGCGTATACGACGGCCGCGAAGACAAAGTAAGCCTTAAGGTACCAGATCTCGAACACGGCAATAGCCGCAGGTGAACCCAGACCAAGGCGGGGCAGGTTGGTCAACACGGCGCCGCCAATGAGAGGAACAAGCATAACGGTCCAATAAGGGAAAGGCTGGCGCGTCAGATGGGCAAGTATAATCTTTGTCGTCATACGTCCAAACACCAAGCTCATGGTCAGACAGAACAAAACAAGGTGACCTCCTGTCTTGTTTGGAGCATCCCACTCTTCCAAAATAGTCGAGTAAGGGCTCCCCAGCCATGCACAAGTTGCCGTCGTGAAGATGACCATGGGAGTCCATTCCAGCAGAATAGGCAGGACAGGCAGATTGTTGGCGCGGCGCGCTCTGGCAACGTTCACGACACACGCGGGCAGATGGGCGATCAGAAAGGAGCCAAGGAGAATTGGGACCCAAAAGTCCCGGAAGGTTGTCGTGGGCGCCACGTAGTTTTCCAGGGAGGGGAAGTGTTTGATGAGGGAATCCGACCACACGCCAGGTCCGTTGTGTGCTGAGATGATCATGATCGAGCAGGCGATGATGAGGCCCTCGGTCGGACCATTGAAGTAGCCAAGATATAGGGTGTGGGTGTGGTACGTTTCCCAGGTCGAGAAGAACATGGGCAGGCAAGGGATCAGAGCCGTGAACGCGCCGGTCCTCGTCGCGCCATAGCCCATGGCAGCCGTCTCGAGCAGGCTGCCAAGCGTGCAGTTCAGGGAATCGATACCGTGGTCGAAAAGCTCTCCCAGGCCACTGGAAGTTCCCGTTCTGCGCGCTTGCTTGCCATCAACATTGTCCAGGGTCGAATACATCCAAAGACCAAAGGCAAAGCTGTAGTACAGCCATGCTGGAGCCTACCATGCAATATCAATCAGCTTCTTGCTCCTCTCCGACATGGACCAACTTCGGCGGGGTGAAGCATTGTCTTACCGGACCCACAAGATCAGGCACGTAGAGTTCGACTAATGCCACGTTGCCCAGGATGAACATGAAGCCAAGCAGGGTCACCATGTTGGGCGCCAGCCACATGGGCAGCAGCTCGACGAAGCCATTCCACTATACGACCAAGCCAGTTAACAGTGTGCAGTTGTAAGCCGGAGCGAGGGGCGCATACGTAATGCTTCAGGATGTAGCGAGAGATGAAGCTTTTGTCGACGCTCGAGTACTTGTACGTCTTCAGGTGAGCCAGGGCCTCTTCAGATACACATTCGTGCGCGGCGGTGTCTGTTCCGGAACCTTGTGGTTAGCCAGGGTCTGCGCACGAATAGAACAAGGATAAGGTACATCGGCTGGTGTGAATTTGGGACTCGAGGTCTCCAGACTTACTCTTCCCCATGTTCATGTTGTGCGAGGGGGGCTTGGGGCAGAGCAAAAGGTGTAGAAGGAAGTAGAAGAGAATTGCGCGCCCTTTACGCCGCCATGTATTCAGCCCTGGGTAGTACCGCCGTGAGTGTTGCGCGTTGGGTGGTCAAAGTGCGGCGCGTAGTTAGGGTTGCGGAAGTTCGGAAATTACCTCTACCGAAGCGTCGACGGGCATCCGGGCATGACGTTGGGGAATCACGCGGGGAACGACAGATGATTGACAGAAACTCGTACACGTATTAATTCACTGCCCGCTGCACCCATTTACGTATCGCCCTCGTGCTCGCTGCTGCAAGTGTAGGCACGTCTGCTTTTGCATGTGATGCCCTGACTCGCGCACGGCCCCCTCCGTTAGTCTGTACAACTCTTGCGTCGCGTCGCGCGAAAAGTTGTTGCAGTAGTCCACCACCTCGCACCACCGGTCAACCCCATGGTCTGATAATCCAGACGATAACTCAAAGAGCAGAGTGGAAAATTCGTCGTTTCGTGTCTGTCATTGTCATCGTAAAGCTAGCTTCATGGCTGCTACGTGTACCAGCCAACAACGAGGGATTGGAAAAATCCAACGCCGCTTAGAATCCTGCACCCAATCTCTGCTCAACGGCCGGTCAAAGGACGCGTGGCTTCGTCTGCAGTGTCGCCAGCAAACTTGCCCACGGGGTTCTGGAGAGAACCACCGGCCAGATTGCCCAGACCCTTCTTGACTTCTTTCACATCTTTTTGATCCGAGGCAGGCAGCTTGTTGACTTGGTCTAGTCGAGAGTCAGTATGTACCAGACGGGCATTAACCTGGGAGTTTACCTTTGACGAGGTAGGATGCTTTGTTCTCCCCCATCGTCTTCAGCGCCTTCTCCTCCATCTGGCGTTTGACGGCGGGCGAGATGCCGAAGAAGTAGGCGTAGGCAGCAAGCAAGGCCACGAGGCCCGCGAAAACAGAAACAACGGTGGCTGTGGATGCCATTTTCTGGAGCGGTCTGCCTTGTCGAGGGGTTCAATGCGGCAAAGAATGGTGATCAGCTCGTCGATGAAGCTGGATACGTATATAAATGCGGCGAGACGTATGACGTCTGTCTGCCTTGCCGGTTTCCCTGCTCTTGCGACTTGTTACATGGCACGGCAGGCAGCCTGCCTCAGATACATTTTCGTGCATGGTTCATCGCAGTTAGAACAGTCGGGAGCGGGCCGGAGGGCATTTAAGGGTCCACCGCCTGATGGGGAAATGAGAAGCACTTGCAGTCGAGGAGCGCGACGGATATAGTATGCCGTGCCTGAGACACTAGCACAGCCTTTTACGAACCGCCTGTTCCTGCACTGCCACCCCCATCAGCCGCAATGTGTCAGCCTGGCGCTGTTGTGTGTGCGGAAAGCGCCAGACTCCTCTTAGGGCCAGCCCCGCCCGGGCAGCGCAATCACAGCTAGGTTAGATTGCCAGACTCCGCGACTTTTGTTTCTCGACGGTTGTCCCTTCCTCCTTTCTACTGCCATCTCAGCCAGTCGACCTGTTTCTTCTGCTGTGTTTGCCCTCTTGCACTCGCGTCTACCCTCCCGCTTCCCCGTGCCCCGCTGTCTTTCGGCCAGCCCAGAACGCCAAAGCATCCCTTGACTTTAGAATTCCACGCGCAAGAAGCGAAGCAGGCGCATAACCATCCAAAATGAGTCGTAAGTAGTCTTTCCTCCGCAGCGCATCGCGCCAGGTACTGATTGCATTTTTCTGCAGTTCACGGTATGCTCAACAAGCTGCAGGGCCAGCCTGAAAGCTACGATAAGAAGTCCGCCCTCGCCGACCCCTTGGACAACGCTCGTTACACCATGCTAAAACTTTCCTCAACAGAGCCAAATACCGCTTTGGCAGGACCCTTGGTGCTGGCACCTATGGCATTGTCCGTGAAGCGGATTGCCCCGACGGCAAGGTCGCCGTGAAGATCATCCTCAAGAAGAATGTGAAGGGAAACGAACAGATGGTCCTGGACGAGCTGGAGATGCTTCAGCGCCTGAAGCACCCGCACATTGTCCGCTTCCACGATTGGTTCGAGTCTAGGGTACGTGAGAGCCCTGCGAGCTGGACGAGTAATTGGTGCTGATAAGGCTGCGACAGGACAAATACTACATTGTCACCCAGTTGGCAACCGGCGGCGAGCTGTTCGACCGCATTTGCGAGCGGGGTAGATTCACGGAGAAGGACGCTGCTGAGACTATCCGCCAAGTCTTGGACGCCGTCAACTACCTCCACCAAAACAATGTTGTCCACAGAGGTACACTCCCACACATTCATTGGAGGCTAAAGACAAGACTGACAGTAGACAGATCTCAAGCCTGAGAACCTCCTCTACCTTACGTCCTCCGGCGACTCCTCCCTTGTACTTGCCGACTTCGGTATTGCTAAGATGCTCGACTCGCCTACTGAGCAACTGACCACCATGGCGGGTTCCTTCGGTTATGCGGCTCCAGAGGTTATGCTGAAGCGGGGCCACGGTAAGCCGGTCGACATGTGGTCGCTGGGTGTCATCACATACACGCTGCTTTGTGGTTACTCGCCTTTCCGCAGCGAGAGCTTGGCGGATCTCATCGAGGAGTGCAAGAACGGCCGCGTTATCTTCCACGAGCGGTATTGGAAGGATGTCAGCAAGGATGCCAAGGACTTCATCAACTGCCTTTTGCAGCCCGAGCCCGAGAAGCGCTCTACGAGTGCGGTAAGTGACTATGTTGCGATTACAAGCCATTGCAGCGCTGACGACCCCACAGGAAGCTTTGGCGCATGTGTGGCTCAAGGGCGAGACGGCCTCGGACCACAACTTGCTGCCCGAGATCCGCGCCTACGTCGCCAAGGCGCGCCTCCGCCGTGGCATCGAGCTTGTCAAGCTTGCGAACCGTATCGAGGCGCTCAGGATGCAGGAGGACGAGGAAGAGGACTTGCCCGGCGGAAGCGACATGCCGGCCAACGCGCGCGAGGCGGCGGGCGAGGCGCTCGACGGACACAAGACTGACCGGTCGCTGGAGACGGCGCAGACGCCGAAGACGCACAAGCGCAGCCTGAGCCGGCTCGCAAGGGGTGCTATCTTCAGAGAGGTTGTGCTTGCCAAGGTGCGCGAGATGAAGGACAAGGAGGCCAGGGAGAAGTTTGAGGCCGAGGCCAAGAACCACTGAGGAAACGGGGATTACTTGCATTCATGCACATTATTGTTAGGCTAGTTTCCTAGACACACGCTGGCTGCTTTAGCGATACCCTGTAGGAATCGGAAACGGAAGGTTGATGGTGCAGTTTCGGGTTAGGGCGGCGTCACGTGATGGTTCCGCTCCGTGCCAGACTTAGGGCTCGCGCATCTTGGCGGCCAGATCGAGACGCGATTGAGTTGAGCCACGCCTATGCGCAAGCACCGCGCAGCACCGCAGACGTCGAAGTGCATCCTGATCCTGCCGGAGCCCAAGAGCCTTGCGCCAGCCTGACGTGCGATACTACACACCATGGAGAGCGCGTCGAAGCGCAAGGCGCCGCCCGCCGCCTCACCCGATAGCGAGAGTCGCGCATCCAAGAGACAGCGCTTGCCGGTAAGTGCTTGCGCAGCGCGCGTGTCTGGCGTGGTGCGATGCTGCGAGCGCATGGCATTGATGAGGATGGAGCGCCGGCGCGGAGAGAGAGCTTCCTGGTCGAACGCGCGACGCTTGACCAGCACCAGGCTGCCTACCCTACCCGCACGCTCCGCTCATGAACACCATCAGCGGCAGCCCGCCCATCTCCCAGACGGCCCTCTGCCGCACCCTGCCCCCTCCGATCCACTCCCACCACTCCGACGCCCCAGCTGACATGGCTCTCGCCGCTGCAGCAGGACGATGGCTTCGCCGAGACGCCAGACAGCACCATGGAAATGGGCCTGAAGTTCCTCGAGACCATGAAGGCCGCAAAGGACAAGACGTAGGTCCCGCCGCGGCATTGCCTCCGCGCGAATCATTTGCTAATCTGCCCCAGCGGCCGCCCCATTGCAACCAGCTTTCTCGAGCTTCCGGACCAGGTACGACGTCCCGCCGCCACGTCTCCGCGCCCGGCGCATACTGATCGACTGTTCTGCCAACAGGATGAAATACCCCAATACTACAAGGAAATCAAACTCCCCGTCGCCTTCAGCACCATCGAGGTACGCGCTCTACCCATCACACCACCTCTACATATATATCGCTTTACCCACCATTGCTCCATCGCCCTTGCGCGGCGACTCTTTCGGGGGACGATTTTCAATGCATTTGCTCGCCCATTACACAAACGGCTCTAGCCCAGCCCAATTTTGTTGGAATATTGCTGACCCAGATGATTATTGCAGACAAAACTGCGCAACAAAGAATACACAAGTCTGGCCGCAGTCGAGAGCGATGTCAAGCGTATGGTCAACAACGCAAAGCAGTTCAATGACAAAAACTCATTGATCTATGCCGATGCCGAACGCGTCCGCAAAACCGCTTCAAATTACATGGTCAAGCACAACCCAGCATACCGAAATCCGAACTACACGGCCGTAGCCACTCCTATACCAGGCGAAGAAGAGAAGAGACAACAGTCAATCAGGCTCCATGGCACGAATGGTACTCAGGAGACTCCCACCGCTACCAGAGAAATGAGTGAACGGCCTAAGCGTGCCGCAGCCGTTCCTCAGACCCCTGCTGCGCCCACCCCAACTCCATCCAGAACTCGGAAAAGCGGCAGAGATTCTGCACCTCCCGATAAAGGAGCAGAGCATGATCTGTCTGGCCTCAGCTTCACGAATGCTCAGGAACGTCTAATTCAAGATTTTATCGACTATGTCGAGCCAGAGTATGATTTCTCATTGACACGGAAGCCTATTTAAGCTAACACGAATACAGGAGCGGCTTGCAGATATATGCACCTTTTGTGCAGTTGCCGTCCCGTTCACTGAAGGAATACTATGCAACCATCAAGAATCCGATGTCTCTTCAACAAGTGTTGAAGCAAACCCAAGGGTTTATCGGCCGCAAAGAGGGTTACAGCGGTACCTCCAATTTCAAAACTTGGCAGCAGCTTGAGGAGACGGTCAGCTTCATTTGGACCAATGCGAGAGTTTTCAATGAGGATGGAAGCGATCTCTTCAACTTGGCTGCCGAATTCGAGGTTAGCAAGCTCATCTATGGTTCTAAGATGTCTCTAACGCGTTGTAGGACCACTTCAAGCGCCGCTTAGAGCAGGCAAAGGTTAAGGTACCGGAGCCTAGTCAGCCAACTATCAAGCTCAAGATGTCTGCACCCAAACCGACAGGCACCCCTTCTGGAATCAAGCTCCGCTTGGGAGGAGCTAAAGCAAGCCCTGCGCCCGGCTCAGCTCCAGAAACACCCGTCGCACGCAGCTCAAGTACTCCTGGTGTAATTGTTGACAATGAAGCGTTGGAGCGGCAGCAAAAGCACGTACAAGCAGGGATGAACGGACACAGGCCTCCTTCAGCGGGAAGTGTCCCGCGCAATCCCTTCTCGCGCGCAAGCTCAGATGCTGCACAAGCACCTTCCCTGTCTCAGCGGGAGAATGCTCGCAGTGGTTCGGCCGGGTCACCACCCGCTGCCAACGGCGTCAAGAGCGAGACTCAGGGTGGTCAGTCGCCCGCGCTTGACACAATTCGGCTATCCAGCCAAGCACCCGAAGCAAACAAGGTTCCGTCGCAGTATTCCATGCCACCGCCAACTACCGCGACGCCTCGCATGGCCAGCGGGAGCCCGTATACCAATGGGTTACCAGCTCAAGGCGCGAGCCAGCCCTACCATGGTGCTTCGTATCACCCGCCGAATGGCTTTGACAACAAGCATAGACTTCACGGTAAGGATGCGTTGCATATAGGTTGGCATGGGTGTTTGCTGACCCGACGACAGACATTGCAGATGCTCTTCTTCCCCAAATTGTGATAGCTAGCCACCCCGCCATCACTGCCCCTCGTCCTTACAAAATCAACATCCCGGCCTCGCCGGCGTTCAGTCAGCAGTCGGTTACCATTTCCATCCCCGGCACTCACAGCTCCATCCAAGTCATGCCACATGTGCCAGTTGCGTTGACGCAGCGGCCTTGGCGCCTTTTCGTTACTGCCAACAACACACGTCTGACCGAAGCTGTGCAGCCCGGGACACTGGTGGAGAAGCGCGAGAAGGGCAAACCGTTGTTCGAGGCCAGATTGCAGCCCGGCGTCAATCGGGTGGACGTGGAGGTGATTGCTGGTGCTGCGTCGCCTGCGCGCGGACAGCCCACGGGCAAGCCGCACGAGGAGGTGCAGATGGAGAAATGCACGATTTTCATTAACGTGATGAGGGCATAGGAGTCGATGGGAAAGTACTTAGGGCGGCAATGATCAGGATCAATGGCGCTTTTTTTGCGGATACGATGTGCTTGCAGGCCCGTTGGAGTTTTTGTGTCATGCGGGCGGGCTGGAATTCATGCATTGGTATAGGCTTAGATACCTGGATGGCTGGGAGTGATTGACGGAAGACGAGTTGCCGTAGTTAGTTACAAGGATCGCTCAGTTATGCCTATGCCATATTATTATTATCCCAAGGCCTTGAAGTGTGGATGGTTGTTTATATAAATATTCCTACCTAGGAGTACCTACCTAGGGTTGAAGAACTAAAGGGCTCGCCGGAGTTGGACCGTTGACGTCGTCGGCGAGCTCTGCGACGATTGATCACCATCCATCAACACGACACAACGCGCGCCACCGCCGCCAATGCCACTCGCAATGCAGCCATGCATGACGGCCTGGGTCTGCCGTTCCTGTCGCCGGGGCTCCGATGTCTCCCTCGCCCTCACTCGCCGCCGACGAGCTTATGCCACGGCATCCAAGCCGGAGATATACGACGTTGTATGTGTAGGTGGAGGTCCAGCAGGCCTGAGCCTGCTCAACGGACTGCGTAGGACCACAATGCTCTGGCGCGGCTGCAATTGGACCCCGGGCTGATTCGTCGTGCAGGTTCGTCGCCGGTCACGTCAGGTCTCAAGATGGCCTTGATTGAGGGCCAGGACCTGGAGAAGACGAAGCTCAAGGATGCCGCGCCCACGCATTTTGCCAACCGGTGCAGCTCCTTGACGCCCGCGTCGGCGCAGAATCTCATGGGTAACTACCTACCTACCTACGCTACGTACCACGGCGCGTGGGAGGCAATGGCTGAGCTTTACAAACAGACATGGGCGTGTGGAAGCACATTGACCAGAGCCGCGTGCAGCCCTACCAGGAGATGCAGGTGTGGGACGGCGTCACAGGCAGCCGCATCTCGTTCGACTGGCCCTCGACCAAGAGCGCCCTCACGCCGCGCTCGCCCGACCAGCCCACGACGATCGCGTACATGATCGAGAACGCGAACCTGACGACGGGGCTGCTGTCGCGGCTCGAGGCGCTCGGCGGCGTCGACGTCTACTCGCCCACGCGCGTCGAGGCCATCAACTTGGGCACCGAGACGCCGGAGCTGGACCTGCGCTCGTGGCCCCTGGTCACGCTGTCGGACGGGCGCACCCTCGCCGCGCGCCTGCTCGTCGGCGCCGACGGCGCAAACTCGCCCGTGCGCGCCTTTGCCGGCATCACCGCCCGCGGCTGGGACTACCAGCGCATGGGCGTCGTCGCGTCGCTGCGGCTGGCCGGCCCCGGCTGGGGCGGGCCCCTCCACAAGATCGCCTACCAGCGCTTCCTGCCGACGGGGCCCGTGGCCATGCTCCCGCTGCCGGGCGACATGGCGACGCTGGTGTGGTCGACGACGCCGGAGCGCGCGGCGCGGCTGCGCTCGCTCTCGCTGCCCGACTTCGCCGCCATGGTGGACGCGGCGTTCCGGCTCAGCCCCGCCGACCTCGACTACCTGCACAGCATCGAGGGCGGGCAAGCCGACGAGGTGGCCTGGCGGCGCAGGCACGCGCCCAGCAGCGGGCCGACGCCCCAACAACTACCCCAAGACGTGGCGGCAGTGCAGCCGGGCAGCGTGGCCGGCTTCCCGCTCAAGCTGCGCCACGCCGACGCGTACACGGGCGAGCGCGTCGCCCTCGTCGGCGACGCCGCGCACACGATCCACCCGCTGGCCGGGCAGGGCCTGAACCAGGGGCAGGCGGACGCGGCGGCGCTGGTGCGCGCGGTGACGGGCGCGCGCGCCGCGGGGCTGGATATCGGCGCCCAGCTCGCGCTGGAGCCCTACCCGGCCGAGCGCTACCAGGCGAACAACGCGCTACTGGGCGCGTGCGATAAGCTGCATAAGCTGTATGGCGTGGGCGCGGGGCCGGTGGTGGGCTTGCGCAGTCTGGGCCTCGGCGTCGTGGATCGCTTGCCCTTGCTGAAGGGGTGGTTTATGCGCACGGCGGCGAGCAATGGGCGGTAGGGTAGGTGGGACGGACGTCGACTGCCCTGGTGTTCATACATACAGTGCCTAGGTAGATACCTCTCTTTTAGAGAACATGGGTAGCCAGCCAAAGAGAGCCTACAAGCCCCCCCACCCGCAATATCACCGTGCCCCAAGCAGTGAGTGACCTGGCTACACGGTGCAGAGTGCTGAGTGTGTGTAGGTAGTAAGAGGACATGCGGCCTCATCGGTATCACGCAGTGCCATGTACACGTTCAGAGAGAGGAAGGGGAAGCAAAACCGCCCGCCCGCCCGCACGCACGCACGCAAAAAGAGAAATGTCATCCATTACCATGAAATCCATCATCTACCTAACCCAAACCCGCGACCAAAAAAAAAAAAAAAAAAAAAAAACCGCACCAAACCCTCCCCCTCCACCCCCCCACGCTAGTTATGCATCCCGACATAGCCATTAAACACCAAACTCCGCTCCTTGTCATCCATGTCATCCCCCGTCCCCGTCCAGTAAAACATGCCGGCCAGCCCCTCGGCCTTGACAAACCCGGCCTTCTGCCGCACCGTCGCCGCGTTATCATACGACACGAACCCGCCATCGCCGCCCACGCAGTACGCGGCGCCCGTCTTGTCGTCGACGCGCTCCTTGGTGCCGGGCCGGGGGAGGTCCTTGTACAGGAACGTGCCCTCGTCGCCGGCGTGGCCGCGGTAGCTGTGGCCCGGGCCTTTGGCGCCCAGGAACGAGCGGCCGTACGCGGGCACGCCGAGGAGCAGCTTCTTGGGCGACACGCCCTGCGAAGTGAAGTAGCTGACGGCGCTTTGGCAGGACACGCCGCAGTGCGCGCTGTGCGGCTTGCGCGGGGCGTACAGCTGCGCGTGGTGCTCGGCCGTGGGCACCCAGGGGCCGGAGAAGTCGTACGTCATGACGTTGATGAGGTCGAGGTGCTGCGCGGCGCGCGCGAGCGGGATGTGCTGCAGGGCCCATTGGCCGGCGGGGAGGGCGGTGGTGAGCGTGTAGATCGGGGCGGGCATGTACGTGCGCAGGGTTTGCAGCAGCGAGACGTAGTCGTGCCCTTGTTGCGTGCTGTTGGGGTGCTCCCAGTCGACTGTGCGGGGGGTGGGGGTTAGTTGGGTGGGTGGTGTGCGGTGTTGTGCGTGTGGAGGGGTGTGGGTGTAAGTGTGGGGGATAAGGTGGTAGGGCGCGGGGTAGGTATGTAGGTACGCTATGCTATGCTATGCTGTGCTATGCTGTTGTGAAATACATGCACACACTACTTGACTGTAGACGACGAGCAAGGAGATGTGACTAGAATAGGAAAAAGGAAACGCATTGGACGAGACGAGACGAGACGAGACGAGTCTGGAACTCTTGGGGGCTCCACCATGCACGCAGCAAAGCAAAGCAAAGCACGGGAGGCCTGAAGAATGGCGGAACGGAACGGGACTCAGCGAAACAAACAAAACAAACTCAAGACTTACTATCAATGCCATCCAGGCCATACTCAGTAACAAGATCCTTAGCCGTGCGCGCAAACGTGTGGCGCGTCTCCTCATGGTGGGCGACATGGGCAAAGGGCTCGCTGCCCTTGCCGCCGCCGCCAACCGAGAGGACAACACGCAAGATGGTGTATTTCTCCTTGAGCTGGGCAAACGAGCGCAGGCAGCCGGTGGTGCCGTCGACGTCGATCTGCGCGTCGGCCCACTCGTCGCTGAGGTGGACGGTGCCGTCGTGCTTGACGTGGGCAAAGGCGTAGAAGGCGTGCGAGATGACGTCGAAGTTGAGCGCCGAGGGCGGCAGCTGCTTGTACACGTGCCAGTTGGGGTAGTAGACGGCGTTGAAGAACATGGCGAGGGCGGGCGGCTGCTTTTGTTGTCGTCGCTGCTGCTGCTGCTGCTGCGTCTGGAGGGTGCGCGCGCTCTTGGGCTGGGCGTGCAGGAGAGGGTTGGGCGGCGCCGGGCCGAACACGCTGACCATGATGGTGTTAAGTACTCGTACCTAGGGCGGCGTCGTTGGTAGGTGGGAAGCTGGAAAGCTCGGCACGGTCGGGAGTTGCGGCAAGTTGAGAGGGAGAAGACGGGACTTGGGACTTGGGACTTGTCTCTCTCCAGCTCTCTCTAATATCTACTACCACGGTACGGATAGGGTGCTTCTATATCTGGGCCACGGCTATGCATGGCATGCGCGACATTCGGGCCATGTGGGCGGCGCTATCAAAATATACCAGGTATAACGAGTAACGACTCACCAATGCAAATAGTTAGCCCCGCTCCACTCGACCTCCTCCACTCCATGACCATCGCTCCGCCTCGCGGCTCCCGGGCTGATCCACCCGATGTGCGCCGCGGCCGCCCCGTTACATGACGGATCGCCCGCGCGGAGAATACATCTGCCCGCCGGGCACGTCGAGCATGGGGGGCCGTGCGGCGGGCGGCTGACGACGGCGCCGCCGAACCCCGCAGCTATGTAGATGGAGGGAGACATGTTGAGAGAGCCAGCCCGGCGGATGGTCGGTCGATGGTTGTTGAGAGTATGTAGGAAATGCAGAGGGCGGCATCCCTGCTCATGCAAGGCCTCCAGTGGTGGGGGAGGAGGCACCGAGGAGAAGGGCAAAGGTGATGGTGGAGCAGGCCGGTACATTAGCCGCACGGCTTCTTGGCTTCAGTGGACCTGACCTGTCGCCCGTTCACCTGCCTTAGCCCGCTACGCTAAAGTCTGCCTCCATGCATGTCCTGCGTATATCCGGTTTTTTTACGCTGCTGCTGCTGCTGCTGCTGCTGCGCGCTTAGAATGTGTGTGGCCAAGGCGGGCGCGGGTGGTGTTGTTGGAATTGTGGGAATTGGAATCATTGGTCTTGCGGAGAAGATAAAAAAGCAATAGGCGGGGTTCTACTTAGGACGAGAATCGACACACGCTTGCACGGCATTGCATGATGCATGCACACCTACGTAGATGGAGTCGTACAAACACGCTGCATGGGCAGATATGAATGCGTTGCGTTCACGTGCCCCATGCCTCGCGCTGATCGGCCAGCATCATCATGTTGTTAACCGACCTCCACGAGTGCACCTGCATTGCATCGACCACAGAAGGAGTCAGGAGAGAGAGAAAGCTCCAACCCCACCACTTCTTCTCTTCATCGCAACCTTCCCGATTCCAGCGCTAGCCACCACCACCATTGATAGCTCAAAGGGGGGTTCTAGTTAACCGTGGCTGGCGCGCATGCTTGATACCATACCATGCCTATATATTGCATGCATGCGTGTGCATGGCGCGGGGGGCGTCGACAACACCACTACCACTACCACTACCGCTACCACTACCGCTAATCGAACTAATGAACAATATAACGAATCGATATGGGCGGTATCGAATACTTCAATTGATCGATCACTCACTCATTCCTCCCCAAGAGAGAGAGAGAGGGAGAGATGGATCGAAAGTCAGTAGACACGCGCGCCTCGTATGCACACACACACACACACAGCTCGCGCTGCTACATAGCCCAAGCCCAGCCAGAAAAGGACACCCCGTTCGTATGTATTGCCGCGCCTGTACGGCGTGCTCTAGGTACCTTATTTGCGGCCGCAGCAACACCGCCACCGCCTCCCTTCCTCTTCCTCTCTCTCGCTCTCTCTCTCTCTCTCTACATAGGTAGTAAGTTAGATAATCCACCCAACAACACCAACACTTCCTCCTAGTTACACACCAAGCACTCCCACCCCACAACACCAACCAACCTACCTCCCCCCCTTCTTCCCCTTCCTCGCGTTCCTCTCCCGCTCATACGCATTCTTCTGCGCGCCCTCCTCGCTCTGAATCTCCTGCACCAGCTTCCGATACTTCGCCTCATACGCGGCATCGCGCTCCTTCTTCTCGCGCAGCCGCTCGCGCGCAACAAAGCTCGCATCCTTGCGCAGCTCGCGCATGGCGCCCTTCTTCTCGCGGCGCACCTCGGCCCGCAGCTTGCTGGCCTCGCGCCGCGCCGCGTCCGGATCGTAGTGCTTGTCGGGGTTGAAGCCCTCTTCGAACTTGGGCACCGAGGTTTTGATCGCCTGCGGGCGGTGGTGGTGGAGTTCTTGTGGACGCCGCGCCAGCCGCGCTTGCTTGGCTTGGATTTGCAGTTGGCGTAGCGCTTTGATTTGTTTGAGGTCTTTGAGCACGCCGAGTGCCTCTGGCGTGAAGATCTCGATGAATGCCGCTTTGCCGGTCCACAGCTCTGCCATGCCCGTCAGGTTGTTGACGTACGCTTGCTTGGTGTCGGCCGGAAGTTCCGTGTGCTTCAGCGCCAGCAGCGTGAACCGCACCAGCTCGGGCATGTAGCGCTTGGCCAGCGCCTGGTACTTGAGGCAAAGCGCGCCCAGGTACGCTCCAGTAACAAGGTCCTGCTGCGTCTGCGGCGTGCCCAGGCCCATCCACCGAGCCATCACTGTGATGGCTGGAGTGACCACCTGGTGGAAGTGGTCAGAGGTCGGGTAGATGGTGCTGATGGCAGTGAGAATGACCAAGTCTCCCGGCGTGATGGTGGCCTCCTCGTGCATCTTTTCCAAATGCCTGCGGAAAGCAGTGGCAATGCCCAGCGCAAAGGTGCGCGACAGCGAGTGCAGGTGACGGATCAGAGTCTCAATCGTTGCCAGGGGCGGCGACGGCTTCTGGAGGGCGAGATACGAAATGTGATCCACCAGTGCGCCGGAAAAGTCCGCCATCTTTGCCTTGTTGTCGGCATTGAGCTGAGGGTGGTACAAAGCTCTTATGCGCTGAACGACCGTCGGCGTGTCCTTGACAGTGACGTTTTTGAATACCTCCAACAGCTCCTCGTGCGACTGCGGGCACTTGTATGTGTAGGCCAGTTTTGAAGTGCCATCGACTGCTTTTGTGAGATCCAAAACGCCGGGGGTGGCCTTTTTCTCGTCCTTGTCAAGGATCCCGCGGACAAACTCGTCTTCCTCATCCTCCTCGTGCTGCATGTTGTCCTCATCCTCCGAGCTCTCAGCTTCGCTTCCATTCTCTTCATCTTCATCTTCGTATTCGTTTTCATCGACGTCAGATCCGCTGTCGACCAGATCAGCATCGATTTCGAAATCGTCTTCGTCGTCGATTCCAGGCGGCCGCAAAGTGCCGTGCTGGTTGTGGGTATCAGTGAAGCCAAACTCTGCCGCATCATCAGGGAGAGCGTCCTCGTCATCCTCCATCTCCACATCAGCGGATTTCTGCTGAGGCTGCTCGTCCTCGCTCTCCTCCTCGCCTCTCATTCTGCGCTGGCGCTTCTCCTCAAGCTCCTTCAGCCTTTCGGCCTCGTCCGCAGCCTTCTCCTCGTCCGTCTTCGTCCTCGTGGTAGGGGCCGCACGCCTGTCGAGCTTCATCTCCAGCAGTCGCTTGTCGTACTCCTTCTCGGCCTTCTTCTTGTCCTCGCCGCTCATCATAGCTGCCCGTTCTGGGTTCATATCGCCCATAGCGCCACTGGTCTCCGCGGCAGGCGGAGGCCGTTTGTGACCCCTCAAAAGAGCGAGCATATCCCCGAGGCCTTGGTCCAGCTCTTCGCGCAGCTCGTAATCATCTTCCTTTGCTTGCTGGCGCTCAAACTTGTGGAGCTTTGACTTGGCAATGACTTCCTTCATAACCTCCGCCTTGCTCTTCTTCCGCTCCGGCTGGTCTCCCTCTTCCTCGTCCGTCTCACCCTCCTCTCCAGGCTCCCGCCTCCTCTTGGCCGGCCGCGCTTCATCGCCACTATCGTCACCAGCAAGGCTCCCTGCGTCGAAATCGTCTTGCTCGCCATCCAAATCCAGTGTCTGGCCCGCGTGAGTAAGCTGCATCTCCTCCTCATCCTCTTCCAAATTGAAGATGGAGGCGCCCTTGTTACGCGACTTTTCCCGAGTAAAACGCTCCAGCATCCTCTCCTCTGGCGTCATTGTAGGGTCGTTTTCGCCGATACGCCGATCGATGATGCCGCCGACCTTGTTCCGTTTGTTCATTTCGGGGAGGAGGGCTTTGCGCCTCTATAACAGCAGGTCAATATAATAGCTCAAACACCAAAAAGGCCAATTGCCAGCCTTACAGCCTCTTCTCCCAGACTCTTGGTGACACCGGGCCTCGCGACAAGGTTTTTCGCAGACTTGTTCCTCGCGTTTTGGAAGCTGGTGGATTCGAACTTGTCCGGCCTCGAGGCAGTCTTGACCTCGAAGGGATTGAAGCTCTCGCGGATTCCCTCGAGGGCGGCATTGCGCTGGGCCCGCTTGTCGGCATTGTGGCCCTGTCTCTTCTTCTCCTTCTTGGACTTTTGGGGGCCGGTGATTCCCTGCTCGCGCAACGAGGCCTTCAGGCGCTTCAGCTGAGAGGGCGGCATGGGGGGCGAAAGGGTGCGAGGTGGAGGTGGTGGTGGTGGGCGCAGGTGGTTTTGGCGTTCGCGGCGAAATGCGACGCCAAAAAGTTATCGGAAATCAGCAGCAGAATTGAGCCGCTCGCTCCTGACCGCCTTTGGGGCATCACGTGCGGGCCTCCTCCGTGTCTCCTCCGACAACCTCACCCACCCCTGGTGCATATCGCTCTCTCCTGTTTCAGTCTCACGTCATGTCGACAAAATGATCGCTAACGTCTATTTTTGACTTGGTCGCGCCGGCTCATCATAATACCTAAATAGGCAGTGATTTCCTCACCCAACTCCTCGGCGCTCATCGTATTGACTGAGCGCGGGACCCTTGGCTCGCGACGGAGGATGATGCTATGCAGAAGCCGACACTGCTGGTCGCAGTTGTCGGTGCTGTGGAAAAGCGGCAATGGCACCAGGTCATCGTCGACGTCGTAGGGATCCTCTGCTGTTTCTGCCAGCTCCTGGGCCTCGTCCTCATCGGGGTAGAACAGAATGATGGGATCGTCGCGGCGCTTCTTCTTATGCACCGACGACCTGAAGGAACCGGCAAACTCCTCGCGCTCTTCATGGAGCTCCCGCTCGTCCCCCGGCGCAAAGTCCAGCCTGACTTCGGCGCCTTGGCTGCTACGCTGCTGCTGCTGCTGCTGCTGCTGCTGCTGCTGCTGCTGCCGCCGCCGCTTCTCGCTCTGCTGCTGCTGCTCCGAATGCTCATGGTCTAGCCAGTCGGTATCTACTTCACTCTCAGTAGTTGCTGCATCTCAGTCTGTCGCATTTAGTTCTCTCAACTCACGCATAGGAATGGGTGATGTCGCACCTGTCCCGTAAGCTTCGGATGTCTCGGATCCCGGGCGTGCCTCTGTCGAGGCCGAGGCCGCGTCTGACGGCACGGGCGACTTTGGGCGGAACATTTGCGAAATCCTGGCCCGGAGGCTTCTTCTCTGCGGCTTGGCGCTCTCCGTCGACATGGTGAACTGGTGCGGTTTGATGCTGCGGTGGGAGGGGTCGGTACGGCGCTCGATGATGGTGAACGTAAGGAGACGGGAAGCTAGAGCGGGCGTAAAAGGCAAGAAGGAGGTATTTATAGGTGCATTGACGCTTAAACGATGCTCCTATGCTTACAGAAGTGGGAAGGGGAATATGATGTGAAGTGGACCAAGAGCTCAGATCTCAACGTGAGCCCCTCATGTTTGTCTTCACGTTGTTCTCAATATCCGCCCCCTCGTATCAAAGGCCACCTACCTAGTCGGTTGATATCGTCCAAGCTGACAAACAACACCAAACAGCAATCTACCGTCCAGCCCGTCATGAAGCCGAGGTTGTTCGGCCCATCTCATGATCTTCTCCACTGTTTGTTGCCTGCCTTTTCATGTACTTCAATGCGGTACAAGGAAACAAATGACATGTAGAGGATAGATGAATGCCCAAATGGGGTTGCTGCAAAAGAACAACGGTCAAGCAAACCCACTTGAAACCTACTCCGATATCCGATATCTCGTCTAGCATGCAGGGCCCACGGTTGCATCCAGACACTCACTCTCTGACGGGATTTCCTTTCCCCCAGATGGCAACTGTCCCTAGCAGTCCCGTAATCAAACCGTCCTAGGTACCTACTCGGGCTCCTGCCCCGCCCATTCCTCCCACAACGACCCCACATCGACCCCGCACAGCTCCGCCCTCTGCACGATCGCCCTCGCCTTCCCCACAACCGGCGCATCGATCATCTTCCCATCCAGCGTCCAAGCGCCCCTCCCCTGCGCAACCGCCTTCTCGTCGGCCACCAGGATCCTCACCGCCCACTCGGTCTCGCGGCGGGCGGGCGAAAACGTCTCCTGGCACACGTCGACCTGCGACGGATGGATGAGCTGCTTGCCGTTGAAGCCGAGGCGCTTGCCGTCGGCGCACTCGTCGGCGAGCGTCCGCAGCCCCTCGTCGCCTTTGTAGGCCGTGCAGACGAGGTCGATGGCGCTGGGCAGGCCGTGCGCGCGGCACGCCGTCACGATGGCGGACCGCGCGTACAGGAACTCGCTCAGCGACGGCGTGCGCGTGATGGAGAGGTCGAGGGCAAAGTCTTCGGCCGCGAAAATGAGGCCCGACAGGTACGGCGTGGCTTTGCAGATGGAGGAGAGGTCCATGAGGGCTTTGGCCGACTCGACGAGCGCAATGAGGCGGAGCGGTTGCTGCTGCTGCGAGCCTGGCGTCGATGGCGGCGTGGGCGAAGTTGGGTGCCGCTGCGGCAGCGTGTGCCGTATCACGTCCGTCACGAAATGCAGGTCCGAGGCTGAATTGACCTTGGGGATCACGAGGGCATCGACGTTGGGGGCTTTGAGCTGAGCCGGGTTTCAGCATGTTGAGGCAGGAGAGTAGGTAGGTAGATAGCTACAGACCACTTCAGTCAAATCATCGAGTGCATAGCCGCTGTCTACAGAGTTGATGCGCACGGCTTGCTCGCGGATGCCGGCCGCGCGCGGCTGTTCGAGCAATTGGCGCAAATTCGAGCGCGCCTCTGCCTTTTTCCCCGGAGTGACCGAGTCTTCCAGGTCGTAGGCTATGCAGTCGACGTTGAGGCCGCGCGACTTGTCCAGCATCTTTTTCGAAGAGCCGGGGACTGCATCATGGCTTCAGTTTCTTAGCTGGTGGTAGGCTTCTGGGGCCTGTGTAGTGGTACCGTAGAGCAGGGCGCGGCGGACGATGGGCGCGGCCGATGCCATTGTAGGTAGGTAGGTAGAGAAGAAAGAGAGAGGTGTAGGTAGCTGTGTCGGAGCTTCCCCACACTTGCTAGTTACCTACGCTTGCGAGTCGGCGAAACGCGCGTCTGAAACACCGACGACAGGGCGCCGTTGGCCGCAAACGCAACGGTAGCTTCATCCGTCATCACCACCACCCAAGCCACAAAGCCATAGCCATGGACATCAATCAGCAGGGCGAGCTGAACTGGCGCCTCAGCAGCCACCCCATCACGCTGCTGTGCTTCCTCTCCTTCCGCGTCGGTACGTGTTACCCGCAGCAACCAACACCAACACCAACACCAGCAACTGACGGACTCCCGCGCGCGCAGCCAGCCTCCTAACCTACCTCCTGGGCCTGCTCTTCACCGACAACTTGTACGCCGCCCCAACCCCCTGCCACAATGAGACAACAGCAGAGCAAGCAAGCTAACGCCCGCACCCCCCGCGCGACACAGCGTGCTCATCTTCATCATCACCATCATCCTCCTCGCCGCCGACTTCTACTACCTCAAGAACATTGCCGGGCGCCGGCTGGTCGGGCTGCGCTGGTGGAACGAGGTGGACACGGCGACGGGCGAGTCGCGCTGGGTCTTTGAGTCGGCCGACCCGGAGACGCGCCACATCAACGGCACGGACAAGCGCTTCTTCTGGCTGAGCCTGTACGTGCAGCCCGTGCTGTGGGTGGCCCTGGCCATAGTCGCGCTCGTCAAGTTCGAGTTCATCTGGCTGACGCTGATCGGTGAGTCTTGTTTTTCCTGCGAGGATGCTGCTGCACAGGAATGGGTGCTGACCTGGCTGTTTGATAGTCATTGCTTTGGTCCTCACCATCACCAACACCCTCGCCTTCTCGCGCTGCGACAAGTTCAGCCAGGCTACCAACTTCGCCGGCACCGCGTTTTCGACCGGCGGCCTGGCAAAGAACATCGCCAGCGGCATGATCAGCCGCGTTTTCCGCTAAGCCTGACGCAGGAGCGGCTGCGTGGGTGGTGGGAGCCCATGGGGGGTTGCTTAACTTTCACAAAAGAAAACGTTCGAGAGGGACTGTGTGTCATTTCCCCGTGAACGAGAGCGATTCAATAATATCCACTTCTCCAATTCCCCAACATGCAGGCCAACTGAATGTATTCCCCACCCGTGTCCTCTACCCAAAGCGCACCACACACATCGTATCTAAATCGCCCCCTGCAAAAAAAACCCCCAGCTCAATATCCCCTCCTCCGATCCACGACATTCAGCAACCGTTCCCCCCGTTCCCGCCTCTCCAGATTCTCCCTCAAAATCGCAAAACTGCGCTCCAAATACGCGGCGCCATTGCCGCTAATATGCGGCGTAATAGTGACGTTGGGCGCGCTCCAGAGCGGGTCGTCCGCCGGCAAGGGTTCCGGGTCCGTGACGTCGAGCGCGGCGCCCCCCAACGTGCCGTCGTGCAGTGCCTGCACGAGCGCGCTCTGCTGCACGATCTGCCCGCGGCTGATGTTGATTAGGAAGGGCGCTTTGGTGCGATTGATGTTGCCACTGGCGCTGCCGTTGCTGTTGCCGTTGCCGTTGCTACCGCTACTGCCGGCGCGCAAAACACGCAGCTCCTCCGCGCCCAGGAAGTGCCGCGTCTGCGGCGTCAGCGGCACAGACACCAGCAGCATGTCGATGTCCTGCGCGAGAAAGTGGTGCAGTTCCGCGCGCTCGAGGCCGGAAAACCACGCCGAGGGGAGGGCGCCCTCGGCGTCGCCCGTGCCGGGCACAATGTAGCCCTTGTCGCGGCGCGAGGCGGGCGTGTCTTTGGGCGTGGCGGTGTACGCGATGACGTCCATGCCCATGGCTTTGGCGACGCGGGCGACTGTGCGGTGCAGTGCGGTTAGCGGCGTGGCTAGGACCTAAGTTGTACGTGGATAGAAACGTCGTGGACTGTACGTACCCTGTCGGCCGATGCTGCCGTAGCCGAGCACGCCCAGCCGCTGCCCGACGAGGTCGTGCACGGTTTGGTCGGAGCGGTAGCGCGCCCAGCGGTGCTCCTTCTGGGCGTCGTGGAACTGGTCGTAGAAGTGCGAGCGGACGAGCGTGGTCATGAGGACCCATTCGGCGATCTGGACCAGGCGGGGGGGAAGATGTGAACGGGAGGATTTTTGGACTGGCGTGGGGTGGAGTGGAGCATGGGGATATGAAGACTGATAGAGAGGTATATAGAGAGAGATGGAGAGAGTAGCGAAAGTAGAGGAGGAAGGCTTACCTGGGGACCATGGATGCCGCTGCTCGTCGTGATCGTGATATCCGTGTCCGTGTACAGCGGATGCTTCTGGATATGATTGGAGCCCGCCGACGGCAAATGCAGCAGCTCCAACCTAGGCGCATCGTCGAGGCTCTTGGGCAGATTCGTAAACGTAAGGAGCAGGTTCTTGTCCTTGTAGACATCTTCAAAAACGCACACACAATCAATAAATCATTCCAATCAATCAACCACCCAACCAACCAAGTAACCAACCACCCAACCGCGACTAAACGAGCTGGAGCAAAAGAAAAGCGCTAGGCACGCACGCACGCGTGCAGGTACAATACCCCGCACTACTAGCTAGCTAGCTAGCTAGGTAGGTGGGTAAGGGTGAGTAGGACACACATACCTTCCGGCACATCCGCCAGCCCCGTCGCCTCGCCCGCCCTCAACGACCCCACCTGGTAGAACTCGACGTCGAGACGGGGAAAGCGCTCGCGCAGGCGCGCCAGCTCCGCCTTCGGCTCCGGCATGGGCAGCACGACGAGCAGGCGGTCCTGCTGGTCCGACGGGCCTCCACCCATTTTGTTTGTCGTTGTCGTCGGTGGTGGTGGCGGTGGTGGCGGCGGCGGATGATTACACAGCAGCTGCTTATGGCGCTGGCTGGCTGATGAGGTGAGAGCGGAGAATTGAGAATGAACGAACGAATGAATGAAATGAAAATGCCTGGGATTGGATCGCGTGGGAAAGATGCTGTGTGCTAGGTAGGTACTGCGCGGTCGCCGAGTGTGCAGTGCGCCAGAGAGACGTAGCTCGTAGATGCAGCTGTCAGTAGGTAGCAACGGATCAGACGCAGCAACGGCCCATAAAAAAGCTTCGGTCGTCTGTCGTTGCAGTGGGTTTGCAGTAGGTAGGTAGGACGTCGTTGCCCTCGCCCGCTGCCCCACCCAGCAAAGCCAAACTAAACCACGTTACAGTAACGTCTGCTCCGCTCCAGCCTGCTTACCCATCATTATCAACCACGACGTTCCTCGAATTGCGCAATCCGGGCCGCCCGCCAAGCCCGGCCTCGTATCTCTTCCATACCCAGGTAATCCCGCTGCTAGTCATCACCCACCGTCCACGGCCGTTGCTGCAACCGGCAAGTGCGCAGCGACGTAGGCCCAATCGCATTCCCTCGCGTGCCTGGGTCCCTACTTACTGTACTGGGACCGCGGCCGCCGCTGCTGCTGACGGGTGGGTACATGACTGCGGAGTATGTAGTACATACAATGGGGCATTACTGGTGGTACAAATGTATAGTAAGCATCTGCGAGTTGAAGAACTTTTTTTTTCTGCTCTCTCTGATCGTCGTGCTGCAGCGGTGCTGCTGCTGGCTCTGTCTAAGCTACGCTACGCTACGCTACGGTGGGTGCTATGTAACTACGGTACAACAACAACAAATGAAAAATAAAAAATGTTCGCGACATCGGATGGACTGCACAACGTACTGTATACAACAGACAGACAGACGGACGGACGGACGGACGGACGGACAGACAGCGAAAGAACAGGGTCATGAGACATAACTTCGACGGCTCGGCCTCGACGAGCCCCAAAGAAGCCGCCGTTGCGAAAGCTCCTCCGCGTAAATAAATAACAAGAAAAATGTAGAGGATCCAGGAGATAGCAGAGCCCCCCAAAACCAAACCAAACGGGTATAGCAAAAAGCGCAAAACCGACTGCTCCAAGCAAAGACAGGAAAACGCAGAACACCAGGCCCAGGCGCTTCCTCTTGGACGCCATGCCTTTTTTCCCATCCCTCATAACCTCCAGGGAAATGCTGGAAAACAAAGACAGATATAACCGCCCTACTATATCGAGATCCCGTTCCGTCCAGTTACCCCCTCCCACACTGTGACCCTAGAATAGATGGAAATAATCCTCCCCGGGCGCAAATCGTCCCGTGGGAGCGTGCACTGCGAGCACAAATGCATCGTAGACTTTTTTTTCACTTTTGCCTCCCAAAACGCAAACGCTGATGCTGGTGTCGGCTGCGGCCTTTGTACGCTGTTGTTGCTGCTGTTGTGCATCGCACACTGCGGCTCTTAAAAACATTACCCTGGAAAAAAAAAAAAAATCCTTCTCATTTCTTATCCGCCTTGGCCGCGTCTCCTTGGCTTTGCACCGGATGGAGCCCCAGGCCTCCTCTTGCAAACGTGGTCGTCGGATCCCAGTCTATTCGGGTGACGGCCATGGCGGATGGCGCTCGCGGAGCAGAGAAGCTCTGCACGGGCGTGTGGTACGCTCTTTGGAGGTCTTTCCCCAGAAAGTTCTGCTTGACGGTGCTTGAGGGGCTGACGGACAGGGTTTCCGACGGGCTGGTGACGGCCGTGTCGGGCGTTTTCAATGTTTCCGGGTACGGCGATTGCGATTCCACCTTGCCTAGCTCGTGGCCCCGGTCGTCCACTGAGTTCCGGTTCGCGTCGAGCGAGAGAAATTCTCGGTTCAGGTTGATCTGATTGCGGAACCACTCGCCCCAGCCGACTACCATAGACCACCGTGCTAGAAGAAGCATGCACTGGAAACCGAAGAGCTGTTACGAGATGGGTCAGTCTTTGCACCCGCCACTGGCCAAAGGAGGGAGTACTTACCGAAAGCATAACCAGAACGGCCAGGACGGTGTCCTGGTTCACCAGCATGTGCTGTGCGATGCTATAGCATTGATCTGTCTCCGTCGGGTGGTGGACCAAGCAGACCAGCCAAGGCATAATCTCGTCCAGGTTGTTCATGGAAGATGACTCCTTGCCATCCAGGTAGACGAAGACGACCGAAAAGAAGATGACGTCAGCGAGGAAGAAGATAACAATGATGATTCCTCGCCATTGAAGCCACAGGACTTTGGTGACTCTGTTGTAGATGGCACGAGTGGAGTTTTTGCGCGTGCGCACGCTGGAGGCATAGGACGGCAGGCCGTTGCTGTTCTGCGTACTAGTATCCCCCTCATCGGCCCACATGTTCCGAAGGTAGACGTTGATGCAATAGCCGAAAGTGGCAAGCTGGACGATGGTCGACAGGCCCGCAAGCCCCAACAAAGGACCCCAGAAGCCGTCCATGGAGTGGTCCGAGTTGACGTGACATGCGTCTCCGAACCGGAAGGAAACTCCCGTGACTGTAATGGTGGCCGTGAAGAGGCCCGCGATGATGCCCCAGCCCAGGCCTTGTGCGGCGTAAAAGAACTTGTCGCCGGGGGTGACGTCCCAACAGATCTGCAGGTGCATTGACAGCGCTCTGATGAAGATCCACATGCCAACGGACAGACCGCCGGCAACGATCAACGCGCCAGACCAAGCGCATTCCATACTGGAATACATGTCGTGAGGCGTAATATCATCGAAGCATTGATCCGGTTGCGCTGCCAACGGTATCACAAATCCGAGCTGCAGCAATTAGTAAATGATGTTGATATGGCGTGATGCTCTACATTTACTTACAGAGAGACTTATAGCGCCAATGACCAGGCACACGCTGAGGTAGTGCCGCCGGGTCTTTTCAACGGGCAAGAGTATCCATGAAAGTAACAAATACAGGAGGCAGATGAGGCCAAGAACATTCATGCCTTCTACCACCTTATATGAGCTGTTGAATGCTGCATTGCGGGTCAGTGTTGGCCATGAATAAATGCACGTCATGATACTCACTCTCTGAGTATATGTAGTCGGTGGCGGGACAAGGGAGACAACATCTCAATCCCGGGTCTTGTTTCGATATATGGGTGCAGTAACGACCACCAATGTCTATCCAATGTCAGCAGAGAAGAGAACGAGTGCCAGGTGAAGACTATACGGACATCCACCAAGGCCGTAGTCCCGTTCGCTTAGGAAAGGTGCAGGGCACCCTCCCCTTGTTGCGTTCGACATTGCGCCCGCTGAGCTCATCCACGCACGAGCATAAAGAGGAAACGGCAATTCTTCAGGTGGACCAGCAATGGTGAGGTGAATCTTTTAGACTTGAATCCAATCCAACATCCAGAAGGCAGAGAGGGCGTTCGATGACGAGGAGACGGGCCGGGTTGGGTAGTAAAAGCGGCGGGCTGGATGGAGGACGTGGTTCCGTGGAGGGGGTTTAAAGGATGATACTATCTCATGCGTATTGTGAGACAGCACCGGCGTGATGGAGATGCACCGAGGGGCAGAGAGTCTTAAGGCGAGTTGAAACCGAGTGGCGCAGGGTAGTTTTGACGGCGTAACGGAGAGGACGGGTAGACAACGGCCGCGCGTGCTGGAGCAAAGTGGGGACGAGCGAGTGGATTTGATGGGGCACCGGGGTGTGCGTGGAGGAGGGAAAGCAGAGAGAAAAAGAGCAAAAGGAGAGTTGGAAGTATGTGCTACTTAGAAAGATGGCAAAAGGCCATTGCCCTCTCACGGAGCTCAGCCTGGGGGGCATCGGAGGGTGGGCCGACAGGGTAAAGGTGGAATCCAGTGGTACGGCAAGCCCTGTGCGGGATGGCCAAGCCTCAGACCCCTGCTGAGCCCGCTCGCCGGCCGGCCAGGCACCGGGGAAATGCGCTGACGCTCGCGTGTGCGTCCATCTCGGCCGCTGCGCCCCTGCGATCGTCGAGTGGCCGGTGATTGAAGAAGCGGAGCCCACGACGTCCAATGCTCAACGTCCAACGCCATTGGCGACGCCACCCTGGCCCGTTAAGTCGAGGGATCCTCTCATGTTGCCGTCGGGGAAGGGCTCTTGCGGCTTTCGACTGGCTGGCGACTGGCTGCGACTGGCTGCGACTGGCTGCGGCGTGGGGGGCCTCCCTCTCCTCACGTGGCCAATTGCCGTGGGAGAAGGCAGTGTGGCGTGCGTCGGGAATTATCTCACCCGTCCTACGTGCTACGGACGCAGTACGAGGAAGCCGTGGGAGCTGAGAAAGAGAGTCAGTGTTGAGCGGGATCCACCACGAGCGCCAAGCGGCCCAATCGCGGCCTGCGATTCCGGTGTCTCGTTGATCCGGTTGCGAATTGGCCTGCTCTGCTCTGCTCTGCCCTGCTCTGCGCCTCTAACTACATCACGATATTGCCAATACCCTCCCCCAGTCGCGCATGGGTCTACGCACGCAATGGCACAGCGCCCCTGCAGAAGCCTCTTCTTCTTCACTTCGATCGCCCCTCCGTCCCCCAATCCGGAAGTATCCCCGCTTTTTCCACCACTTGCTCGATCCGGCCTGCGCCGGCCTACTACGTACCTAGTATTTCGCCGTGCTGACTGCTTGTCGTCTCGGATGCTTCAGATGCTGGGCGAGACGTCACGGCCGTCCGGCGGGGAAGAAAATTATGGAGAGGAGGAGAGGGCTTCGTCACTCATGGGGAAGGTGTCGTGGGCTGTGGCACAGGTACATGTACGAGTGCACCCCGGCCGACGACATCGGCGCAATGACCGCAAAATTCCAGTTGTTTGTGCCTCAGTTCCTTTCCCCGTGCCTTGCCGGCGGGCGATCCTAGAGCTCCTCGTGGCATCGAAGACCTCCCGCCGGCCTGGGCTCGTCTATTGTTCGTTCAACAAGCGCAACGTTCCACCGAAGGGACTCAGGAAAAAAACCTTCGAGAACCCCGACGCAGCTGCACGGTGGCCTCACTCGCTGCACTTGCCCGTCTGGGTCCCGGCAAGCTGACATGCCCGAATAGGACATGCGTTAATGCGCGGTGAACCGTAAAGCGTTCGCTGGTGATGACTTGCCCTCGCACGACTTGTCTCAACCATTTTCTCGGACAGCCGGCACGGCCCCACAGCAGAGACGCAGAGACGCAGAGACCGCGTAACCGCGCGACTTTTGTTGTAGCTTCCCTGTCACGTCTTGGTGGTGGTGCTGGCTCAATGCACACCATGGGGGTTCCCTAGCGGAGATCCTCGCGGACAGACGGTTGCTCAAGCCCTCTCCAAATTAAACCCCACACTTTTGTCTTCCGCGCAAAAGCCCACATGCGGCCAGGTGAGGCGCCTGAGCTTGGAACATCTTTTGTGCACGAGTTTCGCAGCGCACCCGGGGACGAGAAACAAACTTCGACGCTGCTGAGGGGTTCCAAGAGAAAGTGCCGTGATATGGCGTCAGCATGCGACAGTTGAAACTCACCATGGCTTCGCTTCGGCAGCGTGCTTGCGGCGAGCTTTTGCGGCGAGGCAGCAGCGGCGTCGATGCCCCAAAGCAGCAACAATTCCTGCGTGACTCCAGAGCACTCCGTGTGCCGCACCGGAGTAACTAGAGCGTGCTGTTCGTCTGCGCAAAATTAGCTGTGGTAGTTAGTGGTTGTGGTAGTGGTACGATGCCGCTCCCGCGAGCCCAGGAACCCCGAACAATATCGAAGCGGCGCCGAGTACCAGAGCTTGGGTAACGACGGCGCGTGTATGATTTACGCGTGAGCCTAGAAGCCGCCCTCTACAACGCACAAACTTCAGCGAAAAAGGAGAAAAATCTCAAACACTTACTCCACAGCGCAATCACTATCACTTTCTACTTGATACGGCCGTACTTTTAAGCTAGAGACGAGGTCATCGTCGTCACCGTGTCGGCCGAAACCTGCGCCGACAACGATGCGTGGGTGCACCTTTGATTGCAAAGCTTCGACCGATCGCCCACATGGGTCCTGAATTAAAACTCTTTCATCAAGCTTTGGCTATGAAGTATTGAAGTGTTGCTGACGCAAAACGCAGCAGTTCAACGCCGAAGCCGGATCCGATCGACGGACCCTGAACGACTGGCGATCATGCCGGAGGAACCCATGGCCTTGTCGCATTCGGCTGGAATTCAAAGACAACCTCAACGGTTGACACCGTTTGTCGCTGTCGCTGTCGTTGTCACTGTCACTGACATTGCTGTTGCCGTTCGCTCGTAAGCCTTGCCGGAAGGCGCCGCAGGGCGGATCCTTCGACTCTCCCTACGAGTCGTAGTCACGCGGAAATCGCCTTTAGAGACGTCCACTTGAATCAGGAGCGCTAGGGGATGAAGTCAAGGAAATTGAAAAGAAAGAATAGCATCTTGGCATCTTCTACAAGCTAGACGTGTTCCCAAGAGCTAATAGCTAACCTTAACACGAAGGCAAAGAGTCAGTCAAACTCTCTTGCGCTGTGCCTGCGTTTCCTCTTTTGTGGCCTTGCGACTCGGTACCGGGTGGTCCATGACACTAGTCATGAACTGCCACTACTGTCAGCTTTTTTTGTGGTACCATCTGCCTTTAAGCATTATGAGCCCGAAGAGCCTTTCTCGACTTTTCTTGTACAGCGTCACGGCAAACATCCTCTATTATCAACCACCATCGATCTCTGTTTAGTCCCCAAAGCTTTGTCTCAATTACTTTCTCAGTTACCATCAGTCAGCCATCAGTCTAGACTTCAGGGCAACCTTTACCGCTCTTTGGAACATTCCGTCGCGTCCATCTACCGTCAACACTCAGATTTGTTACTCCTGTCGGAATTATCGACTACCAAAAGTCCGTCAACACAACAAGGCCAATGAACACCCGGGAGATGGCCATTTGTCACAGGATTGCTCCACACGCGCGCGCAACGGGCATCTAAGATTTGTGTGTTGCTCGGATATGAAAAGGCCAGGTCATCAATCTTCACCGCCACGAGATTGACCATGAGCTTCCAGCCATCACTACGGTCGGTGACCACGGAGGCCTATCCTGGCACCTCACACCGTTCACGTCGATCATGTCGACAAGCCCACCACTCATTTCCTCGCACTCAACGTCGAACACGGACGTCCGTGAGCGTGTAGGCGCGAGCTCGAGCACATCGGATTTCAGACGACGACGGATCGGCTGCACGAAACCCGGGGAGCAGAGAGCAACCGCCAACGGTTCGGGGCCAACAGTTTTCGCCGTCGATGGCCTTTCCGCGATGCCCGCGCTCCCGGCTCGCAAGGATACCCCTCTCGGCGTAGCCAGACTGCCATCCTCCGAACAGACATCAGGTTGCCCGTAGCGGGACGAGCAGGGCGCAGACGTCTTGTCTAACGCGCATTCCAGAATCCTACAGCAAGCTTCTATCCGGCTCCGCGCCCCTTACGCGGCTCCGCGGGGGGGGTCTGGATCGGCGCTGACGCAGAGGAGAATCTCGCGTGTAGGGCAAACGAAGCTTCCAATCCTTCCATCATCATCATCATCATTACCAACCACGCAATCGGCCTTGAGAGAGACTTAACTCCGCCCTGGACTTGGTTACTAGTACGAACAACAGTGCTTGCTGGACGGACAGCAAAAACGCGGCCGGAGGCCCCGACACTAGCATCTACACCACGGAGCCAATCAGAGGCGACGCTCCAACTTCTTGTGTGCTCGCACGCACGCGCCGTCTCCACAGCAGATGTGGCGGGAAAAGGCGATCGCGGGCTCGCCGGCGCGCAGCCTCACCCGCAAGGTACACGGCGATCCACGAGGCCGTGTAACACGATTACGAGCACGACCGACAGGGGGTGCATGTTTCGCAGCAACAACAACAACAACAACAACAACAACAACAACAGGGACAGAAAGAAAGCGCAATGAACAGCAGCAGCTTGATTGATTGATGGTGGTGTGGTGGGCGCGGCCCGCTCGCGTAGAATTAAATTCGACAGCGGGAGCCGAGCACCGCGCCCCGGTTTTCCTCGGCATTTTGGTCGCGCACGCCGCAACTGCCGCCCTGCAACGGACCGAGCCGGTATTACTAGGAAGTGAAGGTCCCAAAATCCAATGATTGCGTCCTAACGGCCTGGCACACCACCAGTACATACCACCCCAAGTCACACTTGACGACGCCGAGCCGGGCGTTCCTTTTCGCCGCTGCCGCTGCCGCCGCCGCCACGGAGGAGGAGTCTTGGTCATCACAGCCGTGTCCTGCTTGCTGTTGTTGTACACGTAGGTGGTGGTGCTGCTGGTTACGCGCACGCAGGAACCGCTCGCGCGATCGATCAAGTTTCACTGCTTGCTTGCTTGCCGCCGCCGCCACCCCGTCGGCGACGCCGTAGAGGAATGTCGTGAGTTATCGTCGCCACTGGGTGTCGGAGACGAGCGACGGGCGACGGGAGGGCAGCCAATATTCGTAGGTCGTATTCTTTACGTGGTGCGTCGTTGGCACCTAGGTAGGTAGGGACAAGTGTACTCGTACGTACATGGAACGACGACGACAGCCGCAAGCTAGCTGGTACGCAGCCGGGAGAGCGTTCCGGGAGGGCTGGAAGACGGCTTGCTGCTGCTACCGCTGCTTCGTCACCTCACCTCCTGGTAACTACAATACCTCGTCCTAGCCATGTCGGTCGGGATGGAGGGGAAGCAAGGGCGGCCCGCGTCGGGACGCGTGCAGGGCGGCACACATGACCTGACGATAATAATAACACATTGGACATGGATGCGCGGATGCTGGCATGCATGGCGACGCGAATAGTTACGATGGCGTGCAGCAGCAGCAGCAGCAGCGTCGCCGTCGCCGTCGCCATCGCCATCGCCATCGCCATCGCCATTGCTCGCGGCTCATCACCCATTTCCATCACACACATCACACCTCGTGCTGCGGCCCGCGCGCTCGAGGTACGGGCTCCTGCGCGGCTGCGGCTGCGGCTGCGGCACGGGCGGCTCACTACTCCCTACTCCCTGAGTCCCTGGGTCCCTACCTACTGCATAACTACCCGGGTATGGCGGTGCCTCGACCTCGTGGTGGCCGTGGATCATCACCTCAGGCCATGCCTGTCGCTGCTGTCTGGAATCGCGTCCGTCCGTCCACTCATCCGTCTACCCCCTGCGCAGTTCTCTCTTCTTCTTCTTCTTCTTCTTCTTCTTCTTCTTCTTCTTCTTCTTCTTCAGCACACGGCGCGCCATGCCGTGCCGTGCCGTGCCATGCCATGTCGAGTCGCGCGGAACAGACGGGCAGCCAATCGCACGCGCTTCCTCGCACGGGGTTAGGTGTGTAATCCGTATTGTATGTATATTGATTGCAGCCTGGCGTGCCTGGGTGCCTGGGAGGTAGGGGTCCTCCGCCTCCGCCAGTCCCGACGACCAACTGACTGCCCTGACTCTTCCGGTGAGTCTTGCCTTTCTTCATCCAATTCCGCTGCGCCCTGCGCCCTGCGCCCGCCCGCCCGCCCGTCTGCCGGGGGACGGACGCAGACGGCGCGCCTTGAAACGCCCGCACGCGCCCCAAGCACGCCCTATCAGCGCGTCTCGCGTCGCCACTGCCGCAGAGCCGCGCCCCACTCGCTCGTGCCGGGAGCGGCTTCCCGACCGCCTCGTGGTAGGTAGGTACGGATTATGTACAATAGCGGGCGTGCGGGCTTGGCTGGTGGCTTGGTAGTGCGTGCTTACCCCGTGCTGTGTGTGTGCGTGAGTGCGTGCGTGTGTGGGAGGAAGCGTGCGATTGAACTCGCTGCTGCTGTTGTACCTACCTAGGTAGGTACCTATCTACCTAGCCTCTAACTATGCGGCGGAGTTGGGGGCTGGGGGAGTCATGCACCAATCAGCGCGCGCGGACGGACTATGCTTGGATGTACCTACCTGTGTTTGTATATACGGAGGACTCCGCACCCCGTACACACCTCCTGCGAATGTAATGATAATGTTTACACGTATATGTTTTGCTCCTAGTTATCCACCAGGTATGTACGGACAGAGTACTGCTACTGCTTACACACACACAGCACACACACACGCTCACTCACGCACGCGCGCCTCATTCCATCTCATCTCATCTCATCTCCCTTCCGCGCCGTCGCAAGCCCGTACGTAGCCCGTATCCAGCCGTGCCAGCCGTGTCGTGCCGTGCCGACGAGCCGTGTCGAGACCAGACCAAAATAACGAAACGGAAGAGGAAGAGAAGGGGGCGACGGCAGCAGCCGTTCATTCAATTCATTCAACTCATCCGTTGACCTCATTCCCCGTATATTGTATATTGACAAAAGGCACGCCCGCTCGCTCGCGACCAACACAACTCCCCTGTTCCCTGCAGCTTGCGTGTATTGTAGCGTGCCTGCCTGTCTGCCGAGCTGCTGCCCCCGGCCGGCTGCACCGCCTCCCCCTTCTTGCCTTCCTGGCCCCGTCGCCCATGGCTGCAACCGAGCAGAAAGGCAGCGTACCTAGCGTCCATGGGTACAGGACCTAGGTAGGTAGGCAAAGGGGAAGGGGGAAGGGGCAGAAGGCCGCGAAGCGAAGCGAAGGGGCTTAGCTGGCTGGCTGGCTCGCCGTCCTGCAGCTTCCTTCCTTCAGCCGCAAATCGTTGCCGTTGTCGTTGTTGTTTTTGTCGGGTGCCTGCTTGCCTGCCTGCCTGCCGGCGAAGCTGCCCGAGTGGCTGAGTGCGCTGCCCGCGCGTGCTGTGCCGGGTACTTGCGCTGCGAGGGCGTGTTGCGTGTGTGGTGTTGTGCGAGGCGGGCTGGCGGGCTGTCTCTCCTCCATCCACTACCTACATACCTATCCACCATCACTCTCACTCACTCACTCACTCACTCACTCACCACGCACCCATTTTTACGCGCGCGCGCACACATACATACATACATACATACATACATACATAAGATATGCAACCCTGCATCCCCCGTACCACGCCAGCGGAGGCAACCCCGTCGCGTTGCGTTGCGACCGGCCCCTCCCCCTCCTTCATCGGAAGAAAAAAAAGGAAAAGAACAAGAAACGCAGAAGCAGGGAGGCAACGAAATAAAAAAGCAAAAGCGGCGGTGAAGAATTTACTTTGCACATGCCTGCCACCCACTCACTTACATACATAACCCCCCGCCCCCAGCAAAGCAAGTAAAGCCCAACATGCAAGAGCAAGCTAATCCGTACACTTACATATGTGTGTATGTACGGGTTAGCTGTACCTAGGTACCTTACATGCTTACATGCATACAAGCAAGCAAGCAGGCCAGACCCCTGCCCGCGCGTAAGCTGCTTGCCGTGGCGCCCGCCAGACCTGCTGCTTCCGGACACAGGTGCAGGCGCCACGGCGCGCTGTGGCGCGCGCGGGTTCCGAGTGACACTGACATGCATGCATGGACTGACGACGTCGGCGCGCGGCAGCGTCAGCACCGACATCGGGGGCTGCGGCGGGTGCGCGTGTTGCTAGGTACATACTTGATGGGTTACTGTTACTGGGTAGGTGTGGATTTTGTGTTTGCGTCGTTGACGCGGGTTTTTGCTTGGTCGTGATGGTGGTGGGAGGGGGAGTGGGTGCGTTTGAGTGAGTGAGTGAGTGACTGGCTGACTGACTGCTGGCTTGTCTAGGTACCCACGAGTATCATCTACCGATGTCATGGCCTCCTTCAATGCAAGACGCGAGCAGTACGGCGCGCACCTGCTTGCTGTGTGCACTGCAGTGCGACAGTGTACGCCGCAAGCGGATGTCGAGGGCGGCTCGACGGGCAGTGAGTGAGGGAGGGAGAGAGCGCGCAGCGACTTGCCTGGCTGACCCGTCCCGCCTCCATAAGGGAAGTGAGTGGGTGCCAGAGTGGTGTGGGCGATGTGGATTCATACGGACTTCACCACAATCCACACACGATGAACAATGAACAATGAATAAACCGGGAAGAAATCAGAAGTTATCCTGTATAAAATAGATAAGTACAATAAACTAGACCAAGCGCAAGATCTACCCGGCTCCCAGAGGTACGACTGACTTCATACGCAGCAACACCCAGCATACCCAAAGCCTACTCAAGCGGACACCAACAACCTTGAACATTACCTCAGCCTTATCACAAGAACAAGAACGTCAACACCCTCTATCTGGAACCATGGTCGTATCCACCCAGACAGATAAGTATTTATTTACCTTACCGCGCCCATCTCTACCTACCTACACGGCACATCGCCTGCTCCTTCCTTCCTTCACCCCTCTCTCCCTCCCTTCCCTTTTCAGTAACAGACAGACACACAGACACACAGTTGCCCAAGGTAGCAACAACCAACAACCACCAAAACCAGAAGCCATCTTCTTCAACGCCATCACCGCTTCAACATCACTAAGTATATCAGCGGCAGCAGCTAAAACAGCAGCTAAACAAACACCATAGTGAGACCGGCGGCCGGCCCAGTCAATTATGATAATACAACACAATATAACGAAACAAGCCGTAGAGCGGACGGGTACCTAGGCTAGGTATAGTATAGTACTTAAGTATTTAATACCTAGGGACGAGCTATCTCTCAGGACAACATCTAGCCAGCAGCTATTATAACAATCAACACCAACACTAACAACGACAGCAGCACCGCCATCAATACCATCACATACATAAGTACACATACACATACAAAAGCACCAACAGCGGCAGTAGCAACAGTATGTAGCATTAGCGTGACCACAACCACCATCACAAAAATTCCACACAAACAGCAACCGCCACCGTACCTGCGACAGCAAGCTAAAGAGAAACAGAATTAGCATCACGCACCGCTCGTGATCAAAAAAAAAAAAAAAAAAAAAAAAAAAAACTCAAGCTCAAGCTCAAGCTCAAGCTCAAGCTCAAACAAAATCCCGAGCAGCAAGACATACGGCCTCCCATCCTCCTTCCTCTGCACGCACATACGCGCGTATACTCTCTCCTATTCCAATCAAACAGGACATACAGATACACGTACACGACGGCAAGGAAGCAAAGCCAAGCAAGAAAGAACGGAAACGAGACACAACAACAACAACAAACAAATAAACAGCAAAAAATTTTCAAATACAACACAAGCGTGCACCCGTGTTCCCGTAGCAAGCCGTGCCGTGCCCAGCCCCTTCCCCCGCCCCTCACCACCACAGCCGGAGAAGTTGGGGTATGGGGGAACGAGGCCGGATAGGGCAGGTATGAGGGCTAAACGAAACGAGGAAATGAGGAAATTGAGACGAGATAGCCAGGAGAAAAGAGAGGGGAAAGGATGACGGGAGAGAAACGCATGCGGGAAGGGGAGGAGCGTGTGCGAGGTTCTGAGGAACGGAGAGAACAAGAGGAGCAAGAACAGGCGACAGCAAGTGCAGAATGCACAAGTGCGGGCGTTGCGAATCGCGTTTGGTGTTTCTTTTTTGGTTTTGGTTTCGGGTTTTCAGATGAGAGTGACATGACGGATGATATTCATTCCTTGTGTTTTCTCTTCTCTTCTCTTCTCTCTCTCGTCTCCAACCCAGCCGACTCACAAGTGAAGAAGAAAATATATATATCTGTGAGCGGCGGGCTCGTCCTTTGATTTTTGCCCCCCCTTCCGACTTCGGGCCCTCCCTCTCAAAAATCTCGGTGACAGTCCCACACCGCGTGTGCATCTGCTGAATGGTGGGGGTGGACAAAAGACATTACAAGCCGCCAGCGCCCTGCAATGCTGCGCAGCGCCACGGAAAGTAGGTAAGAAGCAGTGGCGTGAACCGAGCAACAAAATAAAAGCAAATAAAGGAAAAAAGAAAAAA